CGTAAGCGCGCGGCTGCCATATCTCGCGACGCGAGCGGCATATATATGAAGTATCTGGCTGGCCGCGGCGTCTTTCTGAATGCCGTTCGTGTCGCACCAGTATCGCGACGCGGCTTCCGACAACACTGTGCTTTTTTTAAACTGTACGGCACCGCCCCTGTACTCGTCTCGCTCTGGCGTCACGCAGTTTCAACGTTTAGTTTGGGACACACAAGCCAAGTGGGCTGCTTCGTTTAGAACGCCAGAGTTTCGAGAGCAAAACGCCAGCGCTCGAAGCAGCTAACAGTTTTGTTTTCGTTTCTTTTTTAGGGGCATCGGGTGTGATGCGCATTCATCGGGTGTGATGTGCACTCAGGTCGTTCCCTTCTCCGCATCTTCTCCGTACGTAGCCACCGCTAGATTATAAGCCTGACTTGCACAATAGATGACCTTGTGTGTTTACGTCCTTGGCAATAATATAACGAGATGACAACACGTCACACAGGAAGAGACAGACCAGGGCAGGCGCAAACTACCAACTTGATGTGTCGTCATTAGTTGCGCTCTCACGATGGTTCCCATGTTATGTTATGCCCTTTTTCTGGCGATAATTAACGTGCAAGAACCTAATAACTTGCTGTAATGAGTAATGCGATTAATTACCGAGTGTTTCGCGAGAGCCCGCGCTTGTCTTGACGTTTAACTTACGCGATAGTACCTATTTTGGCATTAAAATAGAAACGTAGTCGTTGGCGGTCGTCCGACGATGTTCGCCCGAGGTTCGCCCGTGAAATGCCCCGCGTGAGGTCGCTGCGAGCAGCGAACGCTCGCACGATATGCGTGTAAAATTTGCAACGATCGCTTCTGATGCCGCGGCGCCGCTTCTTGAGTCGGCTTCCGTAGATCACGACGCCCCCGCCCTACTTGGCGACGCCCTCGCCTAACGCATGCGCGTTCGTGCCAGTACGCATCCCCGCCGCTGTTGCCGTGTTTTCGCGAATGTAACACGTAACGCTCGGCCATAGCCTCCTAGATTTCCCTGCCTGCCGGATAATCGGCGGTCACTTGGAAAGCGGCCGTCGTCCGAACTGTGGTAGTGGCGCCACCTAAGTAGGGTTGTTATCAAATAAATTTTTACGTTTTTGTAGCTGATATGCAACAAAAATAACGTGAAAAAGTTCTAAAAAGGCGTAAACGTACTTATAATTAACCCTACGTAAGTGACGCCGTCATTTAGCAGACAACTTCTTCAATGCAAGGCTTAGCCTCTCAAATTAAAAACGAACACCAAAATTGCCGATCTCAAAGGCCAAGTACAAAGACCCTTATCCCTACGTAGGTAGCGCCGCTATAGATGACGGGCGTTTCGCGCTCATCCGGCAGGCAAGGGAAATCTACGAGGCTATGGCTCGGCGTAGTGCCTTCTGTTCGTCGTGTTTTTTCGTAATTGTGCTTGGGCGCTTGCTCCGGGGACTTCGAAGCCACTCTGTATCGAAGCCACTCTGTATTGGCTCATGCGTGGGCGCGCACGATGTCCACGTGTCTGGCAGTGCCCACGACGAATTAATGTTGATTGGATAATGTCGGCTGAGGATAATATAATTGCTGACCTTGTTTACGTCCCAGAAAAACGGTATGATTACAAGGAAAGACGCCGTTGTGTAGGGCACCGGCGGTTCTTTAGCGTGCGCTGACATAGCACAATACACGGGACACTTCTGCCTCCACCGGAAGGCGGCCGGGATTCGATCCCGTGACCTGCGGGTCAGTGCCGTGGCTGTGAACCAGAACTGTTTACTTCCCACCTCCAGCCATGGAAGGCCGGGTACCGAAGCCAGGCCGTTGTGAAAAAGCACGTCGTTTTCAATCTTGCATCTTGTGCCAAACGGTCCTGTGCCAACGGAAGAGGAGGAGGGTGGGTTAGGGGAAGTAACCGTGTGAACTGCAGGAAACTATCTTTTTTTATATATACAAGAGAACATAACATGTTGGTAGATCATTTCCAAAAGTATTAGAGCGCAGAACGTGTTTATTGCTTGTATGGGGGGGGGGGGGGGGGTTGGGTGCTTGCGCTTGGAAGATTTTAGGAAATGCGCTTGTACAATCCAACAGTGATGCTAAAAATTATACCCAAAATGGCACGACAGCAGTAAGTATAACGAAGCGAGCATTTCTATACCTACTTTCATATCTTGTCGGCTGCATCGGGTGTGATGTGCATTCAGTGATGGTATTTCATATAGGCGAAAGCTTTGTGTGTGTGCATGCGAAGTTTCGAACGTGACCTTGAACGAAAAGCTGGCGTGTAAGAAATTGACCAAAGGTATGGCGTGACTTCGTCGTTGCAGAGTTCGTGCGACATGAAGTGCGCGATAAAATAATCGCATGGAATGACTTTCCACGATACGAGTCATCTGAAGCGAAAGGCATACAGAATCTTTCGATTTTTTCTTTTATTTTTTTACGCCATTAAATTCTCGCAAGTTTTCGACAACGTTTCATAGCCCAATTTAAAGAAGTTGAAATTTCTGTCGTTCCGGTACTGCCTTTCATTTCGGAAAAAAAAAAAAAAAGAGAGGGGAATTTTTTGACTGTCTCATTTTTGTTTTAGTAAACAAAATCAAATCGACCCAACAGACATTTCGGAGCGTAATACAAATTTCGTGGGTTAAGATCCAACCGACCGAAAGGGCGATTTTTCATCCGCACTGTCTCAACTTACGTTCCAATCACTAGGCTTCAATTAAGTGCTACAATTAGTGGCCCTCGTGCTTTCCTTGGCCTAAGTGACCGTGTTAGATTCATTCGGTAATTCCAAATACCACTACGGCGTCGGTGACGCGAAGGGAGTGAGGGAAAAGAGGGAGGGTTGCCTAAATCGCGGAAAACGCGGCAGCTCGTTTGTTTAGTGAATCGGCTGCGCGTGCCTGCGCATGACCGAACTCATGGGCGTGGGCGGTTTGCAGAGAAATGAACATAAACACGAAAAAAAAAAAGCCTGCGCGGTAACTCTGACGCGTGCTCCCAGCAGCGCTCAGCGGGAAAGAGAAGCTGTGCGAGGCTAGCATAAACACGAATCGCGCAACCGCTTAGAGAAAAAAAAGAGAGGAAAAAAAAAAAAAGTTGCTCGCGCGGAGACCTCGAGCCCGTCGACTACGCCTTGTGGAATGCGGCTCCCGACGCGTCGGCAGCGGCGGTGTTCGCGTGCTCGCGCGCTTCTCTCTGACGCTTTGCGGCGCAAGCACAACGTTCACGGTGCGTAAGAACGAAAGAAGAAGAAGGAATAAACAATATCTTATAAAAGGCAGCCGGCAGTACTTGTCGGGGACCGGCGCGAGTGATAAAGGCCTCTCCGCCGCGATTCCGGCCAGCAGCAGCCTCATCCTTGGAGCCGCGGCTGTTTTGTTTGCGGGGCGAAGTACAAACAAACGCCCCCACTATGGCGCCCGGCCTATCTCTCAAACTCGCCGCCCCAGAGAGTGTCCGAACGAAAACGTTTTTCGTTGCTGTTTTTGGTTTCGTTCCAGCGACGAGAAGGTTCGTAAATGGTTCGTATTTGCGTGCGAGAAAATTTTGAAGCTTAGTGACGTTACAGACGGTCTTTTTTTTTTTTTTTTGCCTTAAAGGAGCAGTTTCTTGGGCACCTTGATGATAATGTCAAGAGCTAACAGCACAGACAATTCAGTTGTGTTAGTTCCTCATTTCCTTGCTTCATTATGCGGAACAGCACTAAAGAAATAGGGGACCCTAAAGCTTTGCCTTTATGAGTTGAATCCGATACCGAATCTTCTGTTTCTAGTGTGTACTTCGAACACTTAGTGCATGACACCTTTTCAAACTTGCTATGCACCCAACGTGGCCTTAAGGAAATAGGCGCAGTAGCGTCTGTGCCTTTTGTAGTGGGTTACTGGCTTTAAATCACAAAGTAATTATGATAATCATATGTTCTGATGCCCGTTTGCACTGGCAGCTTGTGCCATGCATTATTACTGCAATATTTCATGTATTGTGAAGCACGTATACAGGACGTATGTGTTTGCACATCATGTGTCACTTTCACTGCGTTTCCAAGCAGAGGAAGTTATTTTCAATGTATTCACAAATAGACGCGTGGCCGTGTGGTAGAACATCCGCTTGCCGAGCAAATGACCCGGTTTCGATTCCCACTCTGACCCAGGAGTTTTTTTATTATTTATTTTATTTGCATAGTTCTCGATTTTTTGGTCGTGCATAAGATGATGATTTCTCGCTCACAATCGCCGACTCCGGAATTTCTGCGAAACGGGCTCTTTAACGCTGTACGCTTTAAAATAATGATGAAGACAGGCTCGACACAGGCACTGTCATCAATGCCTGTGCACAGGCACCAGCACCTGCGTCATTTTGTTCTTGGTCCTTGTCCTTTTCAACGCTGTTGGTCCTGCGTAATTAACTACCACCAACTAGCTCAAGTGTCTCGTCGAGTGTTTTCATCCTGTTAGCTTTTGCCATTTGTGGGGGAAAAGGGCAAAGAACAGGACAGTGAACACGCAGGACACAGCACTTTGTCCTGTGTTCACTGTCTTGTTTCTAGCGCTGTATGCCCCAATGCTCATGAACCAAATAGCCCATCCTAAGAACCAATGTCATTCATTTTTTGCTGATAACTGAACTATGAATTTTCTCAAATCACGTTGAATGCTTTGAGCTTATGAAATGGGCATGATCTCCGAAACAACACACTGTTGTTCTCCCCCAGATGGGATAGTGCTGTTCCAATAAAGCTAACCTCAGCACAGAGATTGTCCTTTTCAAAGGGACCTGTGTTGAAGGCACAACTAAGCTGAGTCTGCCTGTCTGTCTGTCTGTGCATCCATCCGCCTGTCAGTCCGTCTAACCACCCCCCCCATTACTTATGTACTCACAATGCCATCTAGTGAGCAAATCATAAACTAGAGCTGGCTACATACTACGTACGGAGAGGGAACGACCCACACCCTAAGGAGTTTCGACCCTAAAATATTTGTACCTTTGCTTTGCAGTGACAGCATCAGCAGCATTGGGAGAACTACCTGGGCCCGCACTAGGTTGAGCAGCGACGGGCTCCCAGGATGTTCGCCAAGAAAAAGAAGAAGCCGATCATTTCGGCACCGAGCAACTTCGAGCACCGTGTTCACACGGGCTTCGACCGGCGGGAGGGTCGCTTTGTCGGACTGCCACCGCAATGGGCCAGCCTGATTGGTGGAGGCCAAGACCGGCCCAAGCCCATCATCGACCCCTCCAATATCACCCCCACCGAAATTCTGGACATGAAGCTGCACGTGAGTCGCATCTGTTCCTACACGCCGTAATAATAGATATGGCTTGTTGGAAATTTTTCTTTAAGGAACCTTGGATGTTTGTGAAGGTGGCTATTGTACGAGGCAATTGCAGGGAGTTGGCTAATCTAGATCACATGCTCTGCTGATCCCCCTCATTATTGGGCCCTGATCTAGCCGAACAAGCCATGTAGTGCTCTGCCATCAGAAGGCCTCAATAACGGCAACCTTTTCGAGTCATCTGGAGAGCCCGTGGTGTGACGGGTCAGCCTTAGCCTGCAGATTCCAACGTGGGAAGATCTCGCAATGCACTATTTGTGTCTCAGAGGACACCTACCAACAAGAACTACTTTTCGCGCTTTCTTCCTCTATCACTTAATTTTACATCCTTCCCTGCAGTATAAACATGTAGGGCATTGCATCTTTTGCGTGTTTTAATATATATACACATAATTGTGAGCACTGCGTATATATTACCTTACCTGGTAATTTTGCATATTGCTACTCACTGGACAATTTGTCTTCCTATATACTGGAAGCTCCATGACACTTAAATGATGTGAGGTTGAGATGTGTGGTGCAAGCCATATATCCATAGGTGGTAACTTACTTGAGAAAAGCACAATAGGATTTTCTTCTGTAGTAATATGCTTTGAGCTGTTGTAGATGCACAGATTTGAGAGATACGCATAACTGCGGCATTCATATTAAAGCACTAGAACTATTACAACTATTTCTCATTTAGACTATCGTGAGAGGTGGTGCTCCTGGAAGCACAAGCCCCGCGGGTCGATGTCCGTCACGCCCGGGCGGGCCTGTCTCGGTGACACGCTCCAACTCCCTCCGCAAGGAGAGCCCCCCCATGATACATCGGGACATGAGCCGGCTTCCGCCACCTGTTCCCGAGCATGACACATTCCCAGACAACAGCCCAATGCCACCTCAGGGCCACACACTGCCTCCATATGCACATTACCAGGGGCAGCAACCACTTCGGGGACAGCATCCACAGGTGAGGTTTTGTGGTCATTCTCATCTCCTGCTTTCTGCTAGGCACTATTCTTGTCATCATGCTCATCATGCTAATAATTCTAGTGTTCATGTACATTGAAAGCCGGTACATATTTATGCTGCTCTCACTGTCAATATCTCAAGTTTCCCTAAATTTATGGCATTAGCTAGTTCTCTGCCACACTCAACTGCATTCTTGCTAATTGGTACCCATCCTGTCTCTATAATTGATAATCAATCAACATCTGTCATGCAAATTGTGTACAGGAGCTGTTGAGTATTTCTCTGTATGTTGCATAACCTATGAAACTTTTCTTTGCAAGAGCCATCTCCCAGTCCAAGTCAATCACTACTATATCATTTTTCCGTTCATGGGAAGCAGTTGAATCCCTTTATGAGATACAGGCTTTGGGGAGTTGATCTTTTCCCTTCTATGAGATAAGCAGGACACAACATTCTTATCTTCTCATCAACCCCTATTTCGATGTAGGCACACTGGTGTCTCTTATGCCCAATTTGACTTTATATCAGTGTCTCTTGTGAAGGAGGTTTAACTTCTATTTTACTTTTTCTTCATGTCTGCTTCTCGCAAATTATTTCCATGGCACATCACTTGATCACTGAGTAGTATGTTTGCCAAAAACTTTGTCAGTAAAGAATAATCAGCTTTCTGCATATAGGTTCAACAAGTTTAAATGGTTTGATTAGTTCTCTTGGTTAATTAGTCATTTTGCTTCAGCATTAACACTAACCTCTGATGTTTTTCCTCTTTGTTGCTCATTGAACATCATTGCGTCTCCACGTTATGTGGATGGTTTTCTCATTTCAAGCACTGTGCCCTTGCCACACAGGCTCAGCACCCGATGGGAGGAGGGCGTCTCCCACCCGACCACCTCCAGGGCCACTCGAATGCGTATGCCCCGGCTTACATGCATGCTCAGCAGCCTCACCTACAGGACCACCCTCAGCAGGACGTGCACAGGCCCTCTGACTCGCAGGAGGCCCCTGACAGCCCGTCGTTACCCACTAACGCCCAGGGCTACCCACCACATGCTGGGCAGCACACAGCACAGGTGAGTCGCACATTGTCACTATAGGTGTGTGCAGGCTGTGAGCATAGAGTTTCCTAAACTCGTCCAGAAGAGACTCTGGCACTGCGATCGTTCAGCCACCACGGGAATGATGGGTATAGCACATGGATTTGCCTAGTCTTCACGCTTGCGGGCAGCAAATGCACTCATGGCTTTGTTTATTTCAGTGTTTTTCTTTTGTTTTGTTTCCAATGAAAGAACAAACCGTTAGGAACTTCATGACCCTATTTGAATTGGTGAGCCTTAAAGGTTGAGGTAGTGAAGTGTAACTGCCAAACATTTGCTGATTGTTGTTTCGGGCAAAGCAGCTTCAAGCCATGCGAAGCCAAACTGAGCATAAAGTACAAAAATTAGGCAAGTCGACGTACTACTCACATTCCCATGCTTGCGCTACGCGTTGCAGCTCCCATAGACACTAGTGCCAGAGTTCCATTTATAGGAAACTCTCTATGGTTGTTGGGGGCAGACATAGATTGACCTTGCATGCATCAATGCCCATTTATAGGTTCTCGTTTTCTTGAGGAATCGCCAATGCCAATAGTGCTACAGTCGATCACTAGAAGAGATTGTTTACACTGATCTGTAGAAGAGGTTGCCACTTGTTGCCTTCTTAGGGTAAGAGAAAAACAGTGCACATTGGAAGTTAACGTTGGCCAATGTCTGCGCAGGGACGCCAGCAGCCTGGCAACATCACACCCCAGCCACCTCACGGCATTCCATCACACAATGGCAGCTACTATTCTGAACAGGTACGTGGCGCAATAATTTGCACATGCTTTTTTTTTTTGCTGTATGTGCAAACCCAAAGTGAAGTAGCAGGCCCTAATTTTGGAGTGGCTCCTGTGGTTTTCCATGTTCGATGTTTCTACCTTTCATCACCAACTTGCAAAGCACCACAGCAGTGTTACCTTAGCTAACCACTTGTTTAGTGTGATTTTGTTGGGGCTGAATAAAGTGGATGTCCTTGGAGTCTCTTCAGGCTGTACAGTCAAAGCAACATTACCATATTCAATATCCGTGAAATTGTGAAAATTGTGAAAATTGAAAATTGTGAATTTATGATAGTACAGTCGAACCCTGCTACAACGAACGCCGCTTCAACAAAATTCCCGCTATAACGAAAAATTCACGGTTCCCGTCAGCATTCCATAGGAGTCAATGCACAAATATTGTCGCAACAACGAACACCTTTTCTTCTGCCGTCCCGCTTCAACGAAATTTCACGATGCGATTCCAGGCTCAGATATTCATTGCTATACAGTAAACTTAATCTTTAACATTTTGATGCATTTCCGGTTCTGAAAATACATCAAAATGTTAAACATTGGGTTTGCTGTATAGCCGCAGACGATCCGAAGCTGAAGCTCAATTGCTTAGCTCATGGTTTTTTTCGCGCAGCTGCTGGGTGCATCTGCGGAACGATGCCTTTTTCTATTCTAATGCTTATTATTTTGTTCGCGCTTGACTAGTGTGGTAACTAATCAGAGCGGCTGTTCGCCCGCATCATCAACAAAATCAGCTAGCCGCGAGTGATGGTTGATAAGAATAGCATAAAATAAGGCAAAAGTCACCGCTCCACGATACCCTGCTGCCATCTTGGCGTTTTGACGGTGGACAGCTGCTGATCGTTCACGAAAGCGGTTGTAGTAGATTTTTCAGCGTGCTTTTCACATTGGCCTCGCTATACATGGGTGGGAATGACGCCGTGACGCTGCTGGGATAAAATAAAAAGCAGCGGACACTTTTGGAATTTTGAAAATAAACCTTTCTTCGTTTTGCTAGTTCAGATCGGCTATATTTTCTTGATTTTACTAGAATGAAATTTTCACTTCAACGAATTTTTTTCCATGCCCCTTCAATTTCGTTGTAGCGGGGTTTGACTGTACCTTAATTTAGCAAAATTGGTGATTTATTTACTCAGCTTTCCAATCTTAGCTTTATTGAAAACCATGCAATATTCGAAATTTATATTGTGCCCGATTGAGTGAGTCAGATTGCACTGTAATTTTGATTTAGTGAAATCTTTCTGCACTACAAACACACACCTTATCTGCTTATGATAAATGAAAGAATGAAATAAACCAGGTAGTAGCATTTTAGTTTAGGTCTTGGGTTAGTGGCACCAGTTCTGACTTTGGGAAAATTTCATTCATACTTTTTTTTTCCAGGATACTGCCACCGCACAATGGGCAACAGCCACACCCAGGCCACTATGGAAGCCGAGACCACCTGCCCCCTTCACACACCTTGCCATCACATCCGCACCACGCTCCACCACACCTTCCACCACACATGCATCATCCGCCATCTCACGCTGGGCAGCAACACCAGCAGCCACCTTCGCAACAGCAGCACTTGCGACAGGCATCGCCTCACCGAGAAAGTTGGGGCTCGGGCCAGGATCGTTATGATGCCGGCGAATGGGAGTCCTCTGGATACAGCGCCGCCGTGCCTCCTCCGCACTGCCCGGCCACCCGCCGCCATCCCCGGATCACAGACTCACCACGGAGGTGCTCCTCCGCCAGCAGCGGGCCACCCTCCACAGTCGGGGCATCACCCTCCACCTCAACAGCCGCAGCAGCACCACGCACAACCTCCGCATGCCACGACCATGCACCATCCCCCAACGCACGTCAACCAGCAACACCCGAGGGGTCCTTCGCCTATGCATCCGGCGCACGGTAGTAGTGTCCCTCAGTCCCACCAGGCCCCAGCACCGCACATTCCAAACGGGAAGGTACCACCCGCGCTCAACGGTGGGCACCGGATGTCGCCTTCTGGGATGCCACCTCAGTACTCTGTAAATGAGGTGAGTCAACTTATGAGTCTTACAAATAAAACTCGCATTTTTCTTCTCAGGCAATCTTATCCTGCTCCTTTCTGAAAGCTTTTTATAGAGCTGAATCTCTGTAGAGCTCAATCTTTCTCATCATGTGAATGAACCTTCGTTCGTTTTCTCTAAGAACACGTCTCCTCACTGGCGAGCATCATCATCGGCGGGGAGCCAGCTACCATAAAGAAGCCCGCCGTACCAGCCATTGACCTCGTACCCCTTACAGTTAGCACCTCATCAAATTTTACATGGCCTCCATGATCGGTCCACCTTTGACCTAGTGACGATATCATGTGAAGATGCCACATTGATGCTAGTACAACTGAACAAGTTCTGGCAATTGCTTGTTATGGCACGGATTACGCTTAAGCCAAGCAGTCACATTTTCGACGTTTTGTTGAGCAGCAGGAAAAAGCGTGCAAGTCCTCCTTCCTGCCATCGTGACCATACACGCACCCCAAGAGCGAGCAAGACGCACACACGCAACACACATGCCAGAACACGTGGAACAGCTCTGAGCCTGTTTCCAGTCAGAAAACGAAACTAATTCGAGTCAGCGTGGCTGGCTCCGCGGAGCTGGTGGAGACGGGCAAAGGGGTTGTGATCAAGAAAGGAGAGCAGATTTGCGAGAGAAGGGCAAGGAGTTTCGATAAAGACAGGGGAGGATGTGGCGGGAGGGCGACCTTGAAAACCAAAACACACGGGAAGGAGGCAGGTTGGGTAGCTTGCTTGAAAGGTCTGCGAAACTCGCACGTAGAAAAACTTGGAAGAGTGCCCGCGCGCGCAGAAGTCATAGCACGGCCGCCTGGATCGGTGCGCGCGGGGGTGTTCGAAGAATCGGCGGCCGGGGTCGAAAAATCGTTTTGTTGCGCCGGCGGGTTTGCGTGGCCTCATGAACTTCGATATTTTTTCGCCCAAATTAACAGCCGTTCTCGCGCTTCCGCACGCGCGCGGAAGGCATGCTGAGTTGAGTGCGAAGTGAGAGACAACAAGTTCTAAACACGAAACGAATTGCAAATTATCAGAGTCAATGGGGTAGCGTACGCACGTGCACTAGACGCGGACTATCGGATAGTCGGTGGACGACGATGTTGGCAAATGGTCTGGTCACTCCAGGCCGGCGACGCCAACGACAGTACCATCGATCAAAAACAGGGTAGATGGCCGACGATCGGTGGCTGTGTGAAAACACGGGCCTGGTCTGGCGATGCGGGGTGCTCAGAGTAGGGGGGGGGGGGGGGCAAAGGACAGAGGGGTGCGTAACAAAAAGCAGTCATGGAGCAAGGAAACAGCTTTCCTTCCTCCATGGGTCAGGGAGAGCGGCAACTAGAGGGTCGCAGAGGAAGGGTCGGCGTTTAACAATAAGAATGTATGGGCACCTCGTCGATGCCTGATCGGTGGTCGAAAATGGTTTCCCGGGAAGTCTGCAGACCGCTGACTCCGTTTGCTGTAACCGATTAGCGGCGCTCGGAGACGTTCGTTGTAAGTGTGATTTTGTGCCAATGAAGTAATGTATCAATCAATCAATCAATCAATGAAGCTTTATTTTCATAAATAGATATATGCAATTACAGGGATCATTTGGACCGATAGCCTAAAGTGGCTAGTGGACGGTCCAATACAATGTGCAACATAAAAAAGTGTACAGGTCAGCTCTGAGGTAACAACATAAAAAAAAACAATCATGTGATACAGATAACACAGTAATACATTTTTTCTTGCAGATATGCATACTTATTAGCTTGCAGCTAGTTTCTATACATAGGCACTTATTAAAAAAATACAATGAAAATCGAATCACACACACATGCTTACATGTCTTGACTCCACAGAAAAAATGATTTACATGCCATGCTGAAATTACGTGCCGTTTTAATCTCTAGGGGGACCGTGTTCCATATTTTTGTTCCACTAAACTGTATCAGTCTTTCTCCGTAAACATTAAAACATTTGGGCAGATTGAAATTACCATTCGAAGCATGTCGCGTATTGCGTATTGCGTGTCGCGTATATTTTCACGGTCACGTGGATATTGTTCGTTTTAAGCGAAAGTTCGTTTTAAGTGGGGCTGTTATATGTGGGCTCGACTGTATACATGCAGCACGAAGCTGTCAGCCCTAGGCATAAAATTCTCATGCTTCAAATGCACCACTGTTTTTGTCTTCAGACCTGAGCTGTTGGAGTCGCAGAGTACGGAGCAGGCATGTTAGGGCATTTCAATTTTTCATTGGGAGAAAAGTTTTTTGTTGACCCTGTTGGCTTTGTTACTTTGCCTCATGAATTTTCTGTTAACCTTTTAAAGGGACCCTTAAAGGTTCTGGCGATTTTGTACAAGCGCATTGGGCCAGTAGACCAAGTCTCGAGTATTATTTAGAGACCGATTTGAGCTCTCTGCATAGACTGTGTAATTTATTAAAACGCTTTAAAGCAGAAAATCTCTGCATATCGTAGCGACTCAGCCAAATGCGTTTTAAACTGGCCATTCATAGAGTGGCATGCTCTTTGGCCAGAGCACGTTAACAGCCACGTCACCGTGGCATCCGATCTGATTGGCTTCTTTGGGTCTAAAATGCACGAAAATAAGATCGACTGGTAAGGTGGCGGCATCTGGTGGAGCATATATGAACCACTTCGTCTCTGTTGCCAGATGGCGTGCGTGATGCCGGGCACCAAGGCCTCCGAGACTGTGCGCAACCTGTCGGCTATTTCAAAGGTCCAGATTGGTAAAAGCTCAAATCGTCGAGCGGCGCTCATGTGAGCTCTGCTATCGCCAGTGTGCCTCATGAGTTGAAACCAGGCAGAGATGAGAAGGAGCGCACAATATTATTGTCGGTAGCGGCCTTAGTACATGGTGGGTCACTAAATTTGTGGTGCAAATGGTTTGATGATGCTCTACTCTAAACGCTGACAAAACTAAAAACAAACGTTTCAGGGTCCCTTTAAGGTGCTTTCCACACAGTTGTGTACGAAACTTTTTTCTGTTTCTGTCAATCAGGAGCTAACAAAGTGCAAGATGCACTAAGGTTTGGATGCACTGAACCTCCAGCATAATATATGTCTTCATTTAACTTCATTTTGCAATGTACTGTTGCACATTTCGCTGAAGGCACCACCGCTATCAACAAATTGTTTGATGTGCTGCTTTGTGTGGGTGGTGCGAAAGCTATAATTTCTTTTTTTTTTTAGCAACGGAGATAATTGAAAACAAAATCGCAGGAAATTTTTAGCCTAAGATTAGATTCTACTTATGCATAAAAAAGCATTAGTGACTTCACAGTATATGGGCTCATAATTATAATTTAATTTAATTTTTTGGAAAACACAAAAACCAATGTATCGTAAGAATATTTTTCTTGAAATACAGTACTCAGTTTTTTTTATATAGTGTTGTGCAAATTTTACGCACTTACAAGAAGTTCTTCATAGGTGGTGCTTGAAGGGGTCAATTTAAAATCTTTTTGTGTTGCATCCAATGAACTTTCTCGCTGGATTTACAGCATCCTGGTGGCTACCCCAATGCTGCCCCATACCAGCATCCGGCCTCCCAGCTGCCTCCGTCCCAACTCCAGCAGCAGCAGAGGGTCTCTCCGCAAAACACAAACTACGCTCCACAGGCGGGTCACCTGCCGCCCGATGGTTACCGGCCTGCCACCCAGGGAAATCCTCACCAGTACGGACAGTCGAAACCTCACCCGGGCCACAGCCATTCGCCTGGGCCGGCACCAGTTGCCAAGGAGCTGCCAGCCACCCCGCCAAAGCCCAAAGTGCCAAACGATCTCCACCATCACCACCACCATTACCAGCCTGCGGGACCACATCCACAGGTGCCTGTGCAGCAGACACAGCAGCCACATATTGGAGGACAGACCATGGTGGACGGTGGTCGGGTCAGTGAAGTTTACATTGTGCTCTCTTACACTGGGTGGTTCAATCTAGCAAGGCAAAAATCAATTTTCAGCTCATGAGTTTCGTCACTGTGAGCAGTCTTCATCTTGCAGTGGCCGTACTGAGGTCCTGCAATGAACATCAGCATTAGAAGAATCCACTGGTGGTCTAGTTGGCTTTCGCCTCGATAGTATCTTGATTATACTTGGTGCTATGTGCAGCACGAAGAAATAAAGACAAAGGGTAGGCACATTCAGTACCAGTCTTTTATTCTTTATGTGTATTCCTGTCAACCTCTTCCCTACTTTTTCTTATTTTCATTTATTATTTGTTTATTTCTTTTTATTATTACTACTTTTTTTTTCTGCACATACTCAGTACACATTTCCAGACATCAGTATGTCCCTTGGAGGTTATAGACTTTACTTTGTAACCTTGAATTACCCTCTCATGTACCACGAGGGAAATTTCAAGGGCTCTCTTTTTTTAGCTTTAATTCCAAGGAAAGTGAAGGGGATGTTATTTTTAGTAAATATAAAAATATGAAGAAAGTGAAGTGGACTCGAAGATAAAACTTTCTGCCGGCAGGGGCCAAACATACAACCTTTGCGTTAGGTGAAGGTATCATTACATGTCTGCTGACTGTATCTGCAAACTTGAAAGGGCACTGAAACCAGTTTTCAAAGCTGAGTTTACTCTACCATTCAAGTATACTGAGTACAGTGGAAGCTCTGAGCATGTTTGAAGCTTAGTAAATGCTGATTAGGCTCCCTGTCGGTCCCTACGCGGGAGACGCTCGCTACGCCCTAAGCGTGCCCTGCAGGACAAAAATAAAGTATTTTTTATTCCATTCCATATCTTATTTTCTCATATAGATTTTTTGATGGCGCACCTACTGACATCGACACTATCGTGAAATGTCAGGCTACAGCGTTGAATCTAGTGACTTCACATTCCAGTATGGCTTGTTGTGATGACATCAGGTACGAAAACATACAAAATGGCCCCTTGTGCATCATCAATAGATCCCTGGTGCTGAGCCGCCGTGAATTCATTGGTGATGCACACATCTTGCGAGAGTGCGTGACGAGACTCTTGCTATGTGCGGACATCGGGGTGCAGCAGGAACCAAAGTTGGCTTTTAAATACATATTGCAAATAATTATTCAGGGTGCTTACCAGCACCTGAGTGTCCTTTCATTTGATCCAAAAAAAAAAAAAACCCTAAAATTTTCATCTAGTCACCCCTTCAATATCATCCAACCAACCACCATCTGACACCACCTGCTTTCCTTGGCTTCCATTTCTTTTACCCACTCACACACTAGTTATCGCCCCAAGCATTATACGACCTGCACAAGTTATTCTGTATGTCTGCTAGACTGTCAGCTACCTTGGCTCTCTGATCCACATAGCTTTTATCATGTGACGCCCATATTTTCTGTTCTATTGCTGGTTCTCCTGTTGCTCTCTTTCTAACGTGCGACAGAAAGTAGAGCACTGGATTTCAATAATCAGCGCTCATAGTTGTTTTTATTCCAGCCACCACATTTCTCAACTATACTACATTGTTACTCTATGCCATTCCAAACTTGTAGATGTAATTTTTTTCACTTTAGATACGACGTCATCATGGTTTCCGGTTTTATTGTGGCTCAAAGAAATTCATTGACCTTAAAAAAAAATAAAGAAGATATGCTTGAATAAATTTTTCACATTTTCCTGACAAGTACCGTATTTACTCGATTCTACCGCGCCCTCGATTGTAACGCGCACCGGGTTTCCATGACGGAAAAAAAAAAGTAAGACATCGATTGCAACGCACACCCATTTTTCTCGTTGGCCCACACAATCACACCACTCGGGAAAAAGACTCCTTTCGGGAGCGTCTTCCGTTTAAATATGAGGTACGGGGGAAGCTTCTGCCTATCTGACGTGCAACGGAGCATTGCCGTCACTCTAGTTTTACTGTGGCCCGATGTCAGTACGCGAACTTGCTGCGCCCCCTTCTTCTCGACAGTTGTGGTGCCAGGCATGTCGAAGTAAAGAGGCGTCTGATCGGCATTCGCGATTCGCCCAAGCAGGGAGCCGTTGTTGTGCCGCAAGTTTAGGACGAACCTCTGAAAACTGAAGCTTTTCTTCGTACTCCTCTGGCAACTTTTGGTGTATGCCCGTTCGCCTTCAGAGGGAAAAGCCTTTCCTCTTCATAAAGTTAGTTAGTCAGCACCTGCTGGCTTTAAACTGGCTCCGCATTAGTTCTTTTTCTAAGGCTAACTGCATAGCCTGCACTTGGAGCAGTTCTGTCGTCACGGGCCGCTGTGCCACTCACTGCTCAATCACCTACTCGCCGAGCAGCTCTTCAATTTGTGGAAACCAACCCTGCTGTGGTCCGCTGAAGCCTTTGCGTGAATCTTTGCTGTCGACAATATTCTGCTTTTGTTTCCGCCTGTCCCGCACGCACGTTTCGGGAAATCCGAACGACCGCGATGCAGCCCGATTTACGTCCGTTTCGGCACACGCGATGACTTTTCTTTTAAAAGCGGCATCGTGGTGCACTCGTAGAGTTTTTGGAGTCGGCCCTTCCATGCCGTTGATGCTAATGCACACCAAGATGACGAACTCCTCAGCACACGTACGAAGTGCTGCACATGCGAAACCCATAGGCAGAAATGGCCGACGCGCCATGCCGACGCACGTAGGGGGCGGCCATTTTGGAATGCCGATGGCAATAGAATGACCTTATTCATTTTTTTTTTTCGTACTCGATTCTAATGCGCATGCGATTTATGAACTCGCTTAACGGGAAAAAAGGTGCGCGTTAGATTCGAGTAATTACGGTAAATTACACACAAGCCTATCATGCCTTGTTCAGCAAAATCTGAGAAAACTATCCTCTCTGTTTCGTGCCTGTAGGTGGTGTGATATTGTGAAAGCCTACATGTAAAGACACATACACAGCGAATGTCAGCAACACAATGATGATGACATTGGACGAATGCAAGAGATTTGAGAGCCGCCAACTGTGAAGCACATTTCTTTGTTAGAGGTGCTTGATCTGTGGCTCTTTATTTTTTTTTCCTCCATCTCCACCAGGATGGAATGGGCAAAGGTCAAGCAACCATGGACCATGCACCACCACCGGTGGCAGGCAAGCCTCAGTCAAATCACCCACCTGAGCACCAAAGGCTGTCACATGAGCAGGTCTGTCTCCTTGGCGTACTGTTTGCAACCCCATTTAGAGCTGCATTGCGTTGCAGTCTCTGTATGTGGGCCATGTATGTCGATGAATTGAAGCTTGTTTATGCGTGATTTCAATACAGTCGAACCTCTTTATAAGAGACACTGATATAAGATGAAAAATAGGTATAGTAGACACCCAGTGTGCTTACAGTAAAATAGGGGTAGATAAGAAAATTCATACGAAGTACCCTGTTCACAAAAGACACCTTGTGTAAAAGACAAGAACTTCTGCCCGGTTTAACTGTATGTCTAAGCTTCACTCTGGTTGAAGAAAAGACTGAAGCGATAAACTTGGAACGGCTATAGGCACAAGTGGGCATGTGTATCAGCATGCATATTAGTTGATGTAGCATAGTTTCACATTTTATACGTGCCTTGCATCAGTGCCCAAGATACTATTGAACTATCACTGTGTGACAAGTTACCCCCATAAGTAGCGGTAAGGGTTCGAGTGATAAGTGGCTTATTCAACATCACCAACAATTAGAATAATATGTTTTCAAAAACCGCATGCAAGTCCACCATGAGACAACAGGCACCAGCAGAAGTTTCAGTTGTTGCCTTGGTGTTCCCAACCCCAGTAGTAGCAGTGAAACTTTGTTCTTTTGAAATAACATATAAATACATTTCGTTGTATTGATGCAACATATGCGTGATGTTTTATGGGCCCAAAGTTTAAAAGCTGAAACGCTTTTGTGACGACCACTGCTCACGAACCTGCACAACATTCTTGTTCCCCAGTGGTAGCAGTGAAACTTTGTTCTTTTGAAATAACATATAAATACATTTCGTTGTATGGATGCAACATATGCATAATGTTATATGGGCCCAAAGTTTAAAAGCTGAAGTGCTTTTGTGACGACCACTGCTCACGAACCTGCGCGACATCCTTCTCTTGTTTGGTTAGCCCGGCGTGACTCTGTCACTTGCAGCAACACGCTTCTGATAACGGACAGCGCCACCACAGCTTCACCGGAGGCTTACGTCACCACTGTAGGCAATAATACCCAAGCTGCCTAGCTGGGTATCATCCTTGCTTCTCCAACTGTTCGAGCGCAGCGGCAGCATGCTTGCCCCGCTGCTGCTACCACGCTAACAAACGATCGTCACGTTTTATGTTGGGATGCGTACTTTTATCGACATGGCATCCCACAGTTTGTTATATGGTTATCTAAAGGCTGTTTCACATGCCGTGATTGCAGCAAAAAAAAATGGTTCCGTTCGCTTTAATCGCTCTGTTCGCAACCGTCGCTAATGGCGGTTTCGTTTCACAATGACCGCGAACGGTCCGCGATTTTCGCTCTGCAACTGGAGCGGCGAGTTCTTGCCACCGCTCTTTGTGACAGATACGAATGTAATGCAATAATATGTGCATTGTGATATCATGAAGTTTCTGTGAACAAGTAACGAAGGGCCCGCTTGTTTCGTCATTTAGGAATGCTTTCCAGTTTAAATTCATTTTAAAATGAATAGCATCGGCCATTACCAAAACAAACACGTCGACTCTATTTTGACGACCTGTGGGCTTGGCCGGACCAGCCTTATTTCGATGGGTCTCGACCAAAAATCGCTCCCGCCGCTGCGATCAGAGCAAAAATTTCCAATATGTTGGAAGCTCGCCCCGGACTGCGGCGGCGAGAGCAAACTGCCCTTTTTTTCGCTGTGAGCGAATTCGCAGCCTGAAAATCACTACTTTGTGTGTCATGTGAAAAGGCCTCAACAAGCGCTTTGGTATGTTGTCATATTGTCAGACTAAAACTATTTGTTATGGCATTGCTTGCAGTTCCGAGCAGCACTGCAGATGGTGGTTAGTTCGGGTGACCCCCGTGACAACCTGGACAACTTTGTGAAGATCGGTGAAGGCTCAACTGGCATTGTGTGCATAGCTACCGAAAAGCCCAGCGGCCGTCAGGTGGCTGTCAAGAAGATGGACCTTCGCAAGCAGCAGCGCAGGGAGCTTCTGTTTAACGAGGTCAGCAGTGTAATCTTCGTAAAGCGAGAAATTTTGTGCAAATTCAGGAAAACGAAAGAAAAATTTGTCATAACTTAAGGAAAAAAGGAGCAGTTTTGTATCAGAGTATGGATGGTTTGGCAGCCCGCAACCATAAGGCCTTCATGACAAGTTGTTCAGTAACGTAGACTGTGTAAGATTGCAAATAAGTGTAATTCTTGGTCAAATATCCAACATGCTATGACCCCTTTCTGCGCAGGTGGTTATCATGCGAGACTACCATCACCCAAATATCGTCGAGATGTACGACAGCTTCCTTGTGGGCGATGAGCTCTGGGTCGTCATGGAGTTCCTTGAAGGTGGAGCCCTCACCGACATTGTCACACATGCCAGGTCAGTCTGTTGAGTGTGCTTGTGCATAAAGCTTCACCCCAGCACAGGTTATGTAGAGAAACGCAGTGCATACTGCAAATTGGAAAGCGTGTGCAAAGATCAGAAGGCGGTCAGCGGTGAACATAAAGATATGCTATTAGAGCTTCCAGTAAAAAAAAAAAAAACTGCCTGGCCTGCGCGGAATGCGCAGTACAGTCGCAGTGAAAGCTAGAAGAGCAGGCCTTTCAGAGCTTTTCATAAACACCCTTTGGGTAACTGCTACAAGCACACTGCTGGGTATCCACTACGCCGTTAATAAGCATAATTTTTGTGTAGTAGGTCAGCATTCACTATGCTATCCTTCGTAATGATTTTGTGAAGCGTGGTATCCGCTACAGCACTTGCTATGAATTTTATGCAATTTTTTTTTATGCAGTGACTGACGTCCATGAAGAATTATGCCTGAAGTGGTTATGCGCAAAAACAAGTTTTATATGAGTTGGAGCATTGTGGCGAGTGTTGAGGCTTGAGGCGAGCCGTTTATCATTTCGAGTCGCACTTCTGGTGGTCTGTGTGTGGCGTAGATAAATAGTGCCGAACAGGCAGTGTCATTATAGTGCCACTTATGAAAGGAAAGTTGTCCTAGCCACGGAGTCGTCATGGAACGTTCAAGCCGTGCCGGAACTTTGGCATGGACGAAAAAAAGTGTGCGTCGCTGGAGGTGCTGGAGCATGGGACGACATTCCAGGAACTTTGTGCGCTCTTTTAAGAAGTGCGGCATATACCGTATTTACACGCATAATCCTCGCACTTTTTTTGCCGGAAAACTGATGCAAAGTTGGGGGGTGCGAGAATTATGCGGGGAAAACTTTTCACGAAAATGCACACAGCGAAAAAGAAAACGAAGTGGCCACAAATCGGGATTCTCACACCAGCAACTTACAGCAAGCTTTAAGAAGTACTAATTAGAACTTAGCTCAACAATAAAAGCAGAGGTTCAACACAAGGCAAGATTTATTTGAGACACAAAAAGTGCAAGCAAATAGCTGAGAATCAGAACACCATATTTCAAAGCTTGTGGGCATTGCGGGCGTAGCGGTAGCGTTTGTCGCTCAACAGGAGCCCTCAAAAGGTAAGCGTAGGATGTCAGTATTGGGCTGATGGCTATTTAACAGAATCGTCCGCAACTTCCTTCTGAAGAAATAAAGTTTACCATCAATCCTTGTTTTAGGCCCACGGCAGGCCCACAAAACTCGTAGCGAACACAAAACTCGTAGACTCCAAAGGGCCTACCGGCGGCCCTGTTGCCGTCGTTTAGTGCATGATCTATCACTTGCAACTTGAAGCAGCCGTGTAGCTTCAGTATCGCCCCATAACGTGCCAAGATTACCGACACAGCATACAAAACACGCCGCAAGGCGCACTGGCCACTTCGACTTGACTTGGATTGAATCTGCGTGCAATAGTACGCGTGATGCTTAAGAGATGGCGCTAGATGGTGCACGCTATCATCATCAGTGGCTGGAGCGAGCAGACGACATTATTGCGGCAGTTTTCGGGGGTGCGATAATTACTTGAGGAAAAAAAAGAAATCGGATTTTTCTTGGGCGATGTGGGGGGTGTGAGAATTATGCGAGTGCGAGGATTACGCGAGTAAATACGGTACAATGCACTTGATGGCACTGAGGATTGATGACTCAGAATGAGCGCGGCATCTTTATGATGCAAATAACCAAAAGCAGCGTGGAAAATAACGGCAAAGAAACATACACTACAGGACGAGCGGTTGTATGTTTCTCGAGTTATTTGCATAATGAACGAATCGCTTTGTTTCATCTTCATGTTCAATAAATGTTTTCTCTTTGTGAACGCTTTCCTCACTGTTTTATTCGGCCTACATTCGGGATAATTTTTTATTTTCCCCAGCTTCATTTTTGGGCGTCGGCTTAGATTTGAGTAAATACGATATTCCACTTTGTCCTTTCGTGCTTGAATATTGCTTGTCTGCCAGTGTAATGGTGAACTTAATACAATTTTAAGTTCCGTTCAATGAGCAAGTCTGATGTTCACCATTTCTTTATTGCACGATTCAGTATTGTAAAATACTTAAAATGCATTTCTTTGTAATCATGTGTCACACAGCTCTGGGTTGTTTATCTCGGTGCAGAATGGATGAAGAGCAGATTGCAACGGTGTGCAAACAGTGCCTCAAGGCCCTGGCTTTCCTCCATTCCCAAGGCGTCATTCACAGGGACATCAAGTCCGACTCCATTCTGCTGGCCAGCGATGGAAGGGTGCGTCATTTGATCAGACATTTTCGGTCGCACACGTGCATGGTTCCACAAATGTTGGTTTACTTCTTATTTGTTGCAGAACTTCACATCTTTGCCTTTAGTTGACGAGGATAGCAAAGTGCATATCTTAAACGCTTTTTTGCTACTACAGCATCGCCAGTGATGCAGTCTGCATTGTGACCATTTTGTGCATGTAACTTTATTGCGTCATGACTGCAATATCGTCTTTGTCTGTTTATGATAGTGTAGATTCTTGGTATATGGATGGGACTTACAGTTAAACGCAAGAACTTCTGTCTCATATAGTTGGTTTTGGACTTGACTGCTGCACCCCAGTACATTGCTCAGTGGAGGGATGTTCTCATGGAAGACATTTTCCCTGTCCCTCTAATCAAAGATCTACATAAATTCAGAATTTTGTTGAACCTTCTTTTACCCTTACTTTTTTTATTTTTCCCATTTTCGAATCCAGCAGTTCTGTGCAAAAAGGGTGAGAATGAAATTGCAAAGCTTTGTGCTTTCAGACCATGCCAAACTGGCGGCACTTGTGGACAGGAAAGGCTTAAGGCACCTTCACGAATTTTGGTTCTTGCAAATTTTTGAACTGCTTTCTCATTGTTCATTAGTGCTTTGTAAATTACTGATTTGGGCACAGTACAGCTATACTGATTTGGGCACAGTACAGCTATACTGATTTGGGCACAGTACAGCTGTAACTGAATCACTATATGCTGTATAAGAACGCAGCGAAGGTAAAAGCATTGAAGATGCCAAAAAGGCTAGTTCCCCCCTCTGCTATGGCTTCGTTACTTGTAGCCTTTTTTATAAATATGTTGCCAATAAGGATTATTCTCCTCAATTTCTCGTCTTCTAATTCATAAAAATCAAGTGAAATTTTATGTGTACATACATGCCGAATCACTTACAACAAACAAGATGAAATGTGGTAGTTTTTTGAACTAGTGGAGTAGTCGAGTCTTGAACGCTACGCCCGGCACATGATGTGCAGGTGAAGCTGTCAGACTTTGGCTTCTGTGCACAAGTGTCCGTGGAGCTTCCCAAGCGCAAGTCCCTCGTGGGCACACCCTATTGGATGGCACCCGAGGTGATCTCGCGGCTCCCGTACGGCCCCGAGGTGGACATCTGGTCCCTGGGGATAATGTGCATCGAGATGGTGGACGGCGAGCCACCCTTCTTCAATGAGCCACCGCTGCAGGCCATGCGGCGCATCCGAGACATGCCGCCACCCAAGCTCAAGAACACGCACAAGGTTAGGGCACATTTTGCTTAAGGGCAATGTCATCGTGAAAGAGAATGCAATAGTTATCCGCGCATTTATAGCACAAAGCTGCACCAACGAAATTCATTTGGACTTCACAAGAACTGAGCTTTCCAATTGATGAAAAATTTGTCCTTCTCTTTCCATCTGATTAAAAAATTATCCTCCTCTTTGTTAAGGACTAATTTCTCATCAGTGGGGGGGGGGATGTTTTCCTGGAAGTTCGTATTGCCTTGTTTGTAACTTCATGCTCTGAATGAGTGCATGGCAATTTGGTAGGGATGAGCGAATAGCAAATTTGAGGTTCCAAGTTAAAATTGATTTCATCAAATGATTCAAATGGAATAGTTTGAATAGTATGTGTTACATATAAAAAAGGGCACATGTTGCAACCGAACAAGCTTGTGCAATGTTTTTGCAAATGGAACTAGCTGTGTGCAAATGTTACTTTTTTTTTAATGAAGTGGAAGCACTAAATTATGTTAGGGTTTGAAATTTACTATACTGAGTGTACGTAAGCCCGTTCAACATTTTTTTAAACTGAAAAAGTAGTTAACCAAGGTGAAGGTAATAAAGTTGAACCCCTTTATAGGAGGCACTGATACAAGAGATAAATTCAAATTCAATTTAAATTTAATTTCATTTCAAGGATGAGGGCAGGCTCCGGAAAGAAAAAAGTGGCGTTTGTTACTTGAGGAAAACCTGAGCCTCCCTAACGTGTTTAAAAGACACCAGTGTGCCTACAGTAAAATACGGGTTGATAAGAAAATGCATATGTCGTACCCCGCTTGTAAGTGACATCTCGTAAAAGACAAGTTGCCGCCCAGAGCATGCCCTCCTATGAGAGAGTTTAACTGTATGTACATTTAACCTTGAAGTGTGGCTTCGCAGCAATGTGGTTTTTTTTTTTTTAGATAGGTGTTTTCACAGCATAGCACCCTATTTGCTGTAGTGAAACCACCTTTGCAGCAGGTTATGGGTGATAAAATGTGTTTGTTCATTTCAGATGCTTCGAAATTTTGGATAATCTTTATTTGAGTCGAAGTCTTCAGATATTTGCCCATTCCTGTTCAATATCTTCTCGCCCACCAGGTATCGCCCAGGCTTCAGGGTTTCCTGGAGAAAATGCTGGTGCGGGATCCGGCGCAGCGGGCCACGGCCTTCGAGCTGCTGCAGCACCCGTTCTTGAGGCAGGCAGGTCCTCCCAGCCTCCTAGTGCCACTCATGCGCAGCTTCAGGCACAGCCCCTGCTGATGATGCCAGTGCAAGGCGTGCCATGGCTGCCGCCCGCACATACAGCGCAGGGGTCGTGTTTGCGTTAGCGCTTTTCCTCCGTGTCGAGAATGGTTTCACATGCATTCCCATAAACTTCCATATGTCTTCCATATCATCTGCACCGAAATCACTAGTTTCATATCGGTTGCACGCAATATCTGTAAAGTGAGTGCAATTCAATGGGCTCAACAATTATCGTGGCATTATTAGAATAATGGTATATATTAATGTATTGTTTTTCAATTGAAGCAATTTGAGGGCAAAAAACATTCTTGCAGATAATACGCAAGTTGTGTTGTTCATTCTAAAAAGCTGGGAGTTTGCAGTGTCTTAACTTCTCTCTTGTGCTTGTGTTTGCGTGCCCAGTTTTTTTAAATGAATACTGCAGGACTAACTGAGCTCTTTCCTATTCTGGGTTGTATTGTTCAGTCATTATATTATTAGTAAAGGTAGTAAGTTATTGCTGCGGGAGAACTTTGTGCATCTTCGGTCGTTGCTTGGTTTGCGGTTGTTCACTTTCTGCTCGCATGGTCGGCCTGAAGCCAGCTGTGCCAAGCACGTGAGCTGAAATCAAACCAAGACTGAATGTGTACGAATTCCGCTCCTTCATAATTTGAAACATATTCTACACATTTGGTGACGATTCTGCATTCTCAAAATAGCAGCTAAAATACTATTGCGATGTAATCAATATGAAAATTGTGAATGCCTTGTCAGCTTTGTAGTTCTTGCAAGGAGAGCAAGTATGATGTGGAGGCCATAAGAAAATATTGAAATGCATGTGAAATTTGTCGCGAAGGCTGTTCGACGTTGTTGCGTGTTGAATGAGTGCAAATCTTTGGCATTTCTACAAAAGAGGCTCCGGTATTTTTCACCCCCCTCTCTCTCTCTCTTAAAAAAAAAATTCAGCCTTGTGAATGTGAAATGAGGTGTTTCTATGGCAACAGTCTTGGCATGTGCACCATATGATGCTTCATTTGTATGCGTAAAAATGTTAGGTTTATTCAGGATGATTGTATAGGAAGCTAATGGCTTGGGTAAACTTACACTAAAGATTGTGAAACAATCCAACAGTCCCCTGCAGTTGTTTTAAAAGCAGTACTCCATCTCACGATTGCCCTTTGCTGTGCTGTAGAGTGTGCTCTTGGGAATTCAAACTTCTGGAGACTTCTCAGGATTTGGTTTTAATTAGTATCAGAAGTTCCCGCAAATATGATTCAGAGCAACATACCAACTAGCGTTATGATGTTCATTGTTTCTCAGTCCTGCTGTAACATAGACAGCTCTGCATGATTGCCAGTTGATTTTTCAGAAGTCTGCGATCATACTGGTCTTCATCATTATATAGAGAACGTGTAATGAAGGGGCAAAATGTGTTGTGTCCTGTGACAAAAGTTGCACGGTGGCAATCAATAGGCTCAAAATTTGAAAGGTTAATTTGATAACATTCATGTACAATACAGTTGGGCTGTACTACATTGCAGTAATACATTATTTACGCGGTACTAATGGTATAAATATATGGTTGCGAACAACCGTTAATGTGACATACGACATTTGCCTCAAGAGTTGGTTGCCTTGGCCTTCCTTTGTGACAAAGTTCTATGAGCATGAAGTGATAAAAAAAAAGTTGAAAACTTCAATATATTTAATATTTCATTATATTGAAGCTTATGATATGAAGTCTCTATAGTTTACTGGTACAAATTGTTCAGAAGCAATTCATTTTGTGGAATTCATATACCGTAAACTTTCGGTGCCTTTTGTACATGAGACAGCACACATTTCTGTGCATCATCTCGTGAATGTTTGGTGTTCATGTCTGTTACCTAGACTACAACAAATTTTAGGATTACAATGGACTGGTGTGCTTGGTGTCACAACAGTAAAGTTTCAAGTAAGTTAGACAACAAAAAAGAGGGAAAAGTCGTGACGCTGTGGTAGCAGCTGTGTGTGATGGATAGCTGTGGTTACCCGTGAAGCATTAAAAAACATTTCGATGGGGGAGACAGGCACGGAGACGCCTTTTTGTGAGAAGTTTTAGATGGTATATTTAACAACGTAGGGGTATCGCATTAAATCACCAACATTGTATTTGATGATACATAAACTGCTTATGATTTTGGGCTTGTGTGATGCATTGTGCTGCTCTTGAAACAGCTGAAGGGGACCACTACTATTTGTTCTGGTGTAAACGCAGTGTAGTGTAAATTTCGATGCAGTTTTATGTGCCGAGTTGACCTTGTTGAAGAGCCTGCTCCATTCTGAACTGCAGTACATTGAAACGTTTTTAGAACCGCAACGGAATTTCCAGTCTCTGAAGTCATCAGTGAAGTCATTAGCACCCTAGATTTAACTCCATTACAATCACACTTTTGCAAGTAAATGTGTAAGTTAGCCTAGCACAAGTTGCCTCAGGGGCTCAATCTTGTACGCATTCTGTGATAGAACGGAACGCAGTATCGCGAGAGGGATGAAACAGCCATTAAACAAAGGGCAAGTGCCTCGGAATAATGCATCCCATTTGGATCAGTCTGCTGGGGGAATTCAGAAATGTTTTCAACGCATGAAAAAGCATTAGAGCTTTTATAGCTGAATATCAGTTTTTCGAGCATTGTTTTTCAAAGCTTGAAATTGAAGAGTGCGATAACCTTAACAATTTTATTCAAGTGGATGTCTTTATTGCACACTATGTGGCGTTCGCAATTTCACGAGACTTTCAGTAGTGGGCACTGGTGGCCTTTTTAGCAAACTGTCGGTGTGGGATTAGATTAAGCCAGCCACAGAGCAGGCTAATTCGTGCCTCCAGCCTAGGCGCTTATGTATCGATCCAATGTTGTAAGTGGTCCGGAGATCGTCCTATATTCGTTATAGTAAGCATAACTGTGGCTGTCTATTTTCTGCCCCCCTTTTTTGCATAGCAGGCAACAAAAGTTTTGAGAGCACTGCCATTTCTGGTTGCTGTTGTGACGTCTGATCATCGCGTAATTGTTGACCAAATGTTTGCAGCATGACAGAACTTTCTATCTCAGAAGTTGTGCAAGATTGCACTCTAGGAATGTGTAAAATTTTCTTAGCCATTTATAAATAATTGTTAAGTGTATGAGAAGCCATCGTGTTATCATTTTGCCATTTTTCTTGCTGTAGTAGAGTTTTAGTAGCGCGCTGTTTAGCCGGATGATTCTGGAAGCGAATTTCATAGACAAAGGTGCTTAAGAGCACTGTTGAACAGTGGTATCAACTGTTGCTGCTCATCTAATTGGTGTGCTACAAGGCATCATCTTCATAATAGTGCACACATGTAAACAAGCAACACGAAAGCCTTTGTATAGTATTATACACTACCCGCCATAGTGGCTTAGTGGCTAAGGCACTCGGCTGCTGACCTGCAGGTCACGGGATCGAATCCCCGGCCGTGGCGACAGCATTTTCGATAGAGGCGAAAATGCTTGAGGCCTGTGTGTTAGCTTTAGGTGCACGTTAAAGAACCCCAGGTGGTCTAAATTTCTGGAGCCCTCCACCACGGCGTCTGTCATAATCATATGGTGGTTTTGGGACGTTAGACCTCAACAATTATTATGTATTATTGTATAGTAGACACAGTTGCTGTAATTTTTCAAGATTGTTGCGTTACATTCGTTTGAAGCCTTAGGAACACTTCTATTTGACGGCATGTTGCCAGTGCCCTGGACACCAAGTTGCTAAATTCGGGTGCTCCTTTTAGTGTACCAGGAAGGTTTCTGTAATGGCTTTTGTTTCGATAGGTTGTGAGAAATCGATTTGACCTAAATATTGACATTGGTCTGAAGGTTTCAGTGGTTTGGTGAGCTTGCTTACGAGAATGCTTCAAGGGCTGCCTTTAGAATATCCACGTATAGTTGAGAAATAGTCTTGCTACCTTTGCAATGTTGTTTCATATTTAGCATGCTATTTTTAAACTTTTCTGGTAGAGCTTTGCAGTGTAGTGGTAGTTGATTGTAGTTTGGGCTTCTGGTACCATCAATAGCGGTACCTGAAAATAAGATGGTAGTGCTTGCGTGCTAGTGACTTCACTTGCTTCCCCCTCATGTGATAAGCCCCTTTACGGCAGTAGTACCTTGACCTGTAGGCTTACTTCAATCACTTATGACAAATCTATCATACAGCACAAATGTAAAACTATGTCAGCCAATCTATAAAATGTCTTGGATATAGTAGAGTGGTTTGTATGTCAAAAGTGATGCTAAAAACAAAATTCAAGTACGTTACTAAGTGGCTTTTTAATGTCTTAAAATGAAGAATATGCCAGTTTTGTGCAAAAAAATAGTATTAATGAACCAGTCAATGACCTAGATGTGGGAAAGACTACTTTGGAGTTTTGAATGTCTATTGCAGCAGTACTTCAGAAACAATTTGAAGCGCAAGAGAAATACTTCTGCGACAAACCGTTAGACCTTGAGGCAAGAGAAGTTTGACAGGCAAAAATTTCTCACTGAGCTTGCTGGAAAAGAAAAAAAAAAGGAAAAAAATGAAATTCATTCACACGCAAAGTGGCTCTCAAAATTTAGGTGAGGACTTCATCCGTTGATGGATTTTTAGCATTTTTTAATTTGGCACAGGGAATGTGGTCTTCAGTTTCAACATCCACTGCAGCTCAGTTGAGTCTTGGTGCAAAAAAAAAAAGGCGAGATGTCATTTTCAAAATCGCTGTTTGACAATGCTCTGTGACTTGATTTTTGTTTTTAGGGTTACTTTACACTGTTAAAGTGCGAGGATTTCTGGTGACTTACTACTAGTGTAGGGTATACGTCTCTGTGTCAACAATCAAGAAGTAATGCAATAACATTTAGTGAAACAAGCGTTTCTTTCCTCATAAACGTAGTTGTTTGTGAATTTACTTGTAGAAGCATAGAGCATTCGCATAGCATGTAACTGGTTTACGAAAATGTCATACAGAGCTTTGGCACTAGTATGAAGCATATTGATTTGAGTGTTTGCTTTTTATAAGGTCACAGGTGTTAGGTGGCAGCCTTTGGCAATTAACACCGCTTGTTACTAGCATACTGAAGGATGTACGTAGTTGCAGTAGAAGACATCTGATTACCTGCTTCTTGCACAATCGTATTACCTCCAACTTCGTCCACACTTCAGCTCTACAGCTTTTGTTATCTGGAGAGCAAGAGCCACTGCGCCTACATCCGGACTTTGTGTGTAATATTCTTTGCAGTCTGCCATTGACCCAGTTTTTTTTTTTTCCTTTTGCCGTAGGCTTAGCAGCGTGAAGTACCAGACCCATTCTGCTTTGCGAGATACATTATTAGGACTAACTCATGGTTGTCATGCTCAATAGGCGTTGAAAATTGCAATCAGTACAATCTTTGATGTAGTGCATGGCAAATTCTCGACTGACAGTATTTTAAGTGTAACTGGTCTTGTGCTAGTGCACATTTTGACCAACAATCGTGTGTAATGTTGAGGAGGTGATCAGAGCTTTGTTTGGCCATACGGTAAGCTGCCATTTGTGAGAAGAATGCATTGTCTGTAGCCTTGACAGGGGCTGTTGTAAAAGGTCCACTGGAATGACAGGCTTAGTCTGGATGCAGTGTGAGCAGCTTTTTTTTTCTTTCGCGCCTGTTTCTTGCACCCATATCCTATTTCCATGAATGTAGCTGGGGAAGAATTTGAGCAAGTCATGTCATTACATTTTCAGAATATATTGCATAAGGAGCTACTATATGAAGGAAATTGTTACATAATTTCACATAGAATTGTGTGTAATGTGGTGCTCTGAGCTTACAATCAAACAGCAGTGCAGCAAGTGATGACCTTTGCAGCAAGACCCACTTGTGACCACACGTCTGAGGTGGCTAGAGTGCAGTGACTAACCGTGTGCATTGCAGTGATGTCTTTAAGATTTTTAGACACTTTTCTTGAAGCACCCAGTACTATGGTATTCCTGCAAATATGGTATCTGTCAGAAATTGTTACTTAGTTTCAGGGTATGATTTCCAAACTTCTGAATGGATGTGTTTCCATTGTGCTTAACTGCTTCTGAAGGATCTTTCTTTCTTGTTTTTTTTTTTTTTCTCTTTCCCAAAGTGCATAGGCAGAAGTTCCCATGCTTTTGCTTGTGGCCTTGCAGTCAGTAGTCCCAAGTGCCTTGTGGCCTTCTTGGTTGAAAAGTATTTGATGTTTCACGCAGGGTGTTCAACAGACACGGGTATCTTTTGTAAACTGACAGCAGACGATTGAGTTAGGGCTAGTTATGCAAAGAAAATGCATACTTTTACGAGCTGTATTCTACAGGGACAGCTTGTGTACAAGCCTGATTCAGCCTCCTGAATTTACAGCAAAAGTCTTCACGCAGTTCTATGAAGATTAACCCTGCAATGCCCACTGTATCATGCTATATAATACCTCAATGAAGCTACTAAAAGCTACTATAGGTGTCATGATAAGCAGCCATTGTAGATTTGACATGTCATGAAGAAGGCATAGTGACTTACATATATTATAATAATTAATTACTTCAAATGAATACAAATATGTTATGCCTCAAACCAAATTTCATACATATTTTTTTAAATGAACTCTACAAGCAGAGTAAAAAGCAGTCGGCATTTTCTCATTAATTTTTTTGAAGGCACAACTGTTTGTGGGCATTAAAGGGTTAAAGTGCAGCTTTGGGTCACCAAGGTGCTTTTTGTAGAGATGAAGTTATACAACTGTGTATGAAAGTTCTAACACGCTTATTGTCGATAGAAACATATATTTTTTTTTCTTTTTTTTGGACATAGTACCATAATGCTGAAACCCCGTTGTAGCCTCCTTTATACATTAACAATGCCTGCCAGTTGCTCTGCAATGTTTTTCTAAGCCAGTGGTCCGCTGCACCATATGCCACCTTACCAGCAATTTTATTACTTTTGCTAGAGCACAGACAACTTTCTGTCGTTCTGCACTCACTGTTTCAACCACTTGACATGTCAGGAAAGTTGAGGTGACTCTAATTATGCAAGAAGTATGACCATTTACAGCAGATGGTGCACGCTGCACGGCCCCTGGTTTCTGTGTCGCTGGACAAGCGTTAAGGAAGTACTGGAGGCTACAACTCGTCGTGAAGGAACTTGCCACTGTTGTTTCTGAGCTGATTAGGATAACGTAGTCTACTGGGCTGTGTTCACATGACAAGCTATGCATATTTGTACATAGAAATGATTGGCAGTAGTAATAGCTCTGGGCCCATTTTTACATTGTTCTCTATAATTTCAAGTAGGCCCAACACGAAGTAGATCCTAGTACCTGGCCTCACTTTCACGCTGTAGTTTGTTAAGGGTGATGCATTTTAAGGTTGTTGTAAATGGTCACACATATGTTTGCAGTGACATAATTTCTCTTAAACATGAACAAATATGTGTGCTTCTCATTATCTTTTTCTGCATTTTCATTTAAGGTTCTTTTTGGTGCAGAAATCATTATGCATGTGTTCTGTCGCACGTTGTTCTTGTATATTGTGTTTTGAATGTTTTTAATGAGCTGTTTTGGGGAGGCCAGAAGCTGGTGCTGTTAGGAAAGCCGGGTATATTTTGTGTGTGTTTGTTTGTTTTCAAGATGTACCGGAGCTGCCTTCATATATTATTAGGCTGGCTGTATTACATTCCAGGGGTGCTGTATGGCAGTGGGAACTTGTTGCCAATCTGTTCGATGACGAGCCCCTTCGCACTGTTTTTTCACTATTAATGTTGTACCTACATCTGATGTTTGCATTTTGTCATTTTTAATGTCTTTCTCTCTCTCTCCCACTCTCCAACTTATTCCTTGAGGTCTGTTGTGCAAAGAAAGTGGGGAAGAGGTGTTTCCAATACATCGAGATATTGACCTCACATATACATAAATATATACACTATATATATATATATATATATTCAGATGTTTGTTTTATAAACCAATCATTACTAAACTTCACATTTCTAATTGTGTTGAAGTATGCTGCTGGCAGAAGGACACAGGAAATAGGCAGCATATTTTACTGTGGTTATTGTCAGAAAGTTTGTTTTTAGGGACAGCCTGTTTGTCACAGGAGTTAACTGGCAGCTTTGCCCATTTGTGCTTTTCACATTTTGGGCTTTTAAATTCGATGCCAGGGTGTGCATAAAATTATCAGCACTGGTGTACTGATAAGTGCTTGTAGCCTATAACTCATTGCCAAAAGGTAAAGGTCAGTCACTTGTGAGCAGCGGCTAGCCATTGCTTATTACTTTTGAGCAATAGGGGCATGCAACTTGTGTGCACTCGTAGTGTATTGTGGCGTTATGCAGAGTTCTGATGGTTTCTGGAGCCTTGTGAATAACTTTTTTTTTGCATGTAAGTTTTCACTGCAAATGTTCTAGTAGTTTAGAGAGCATATTCAAGATAAATGGTAACTTGTTCTACCAATGCCAGAGAAAATGGATTGTACTCTCCTGATAGTTGTGAATACAAGGGCTTATGAAACTGTTGATAGGAGAGAGAGATGTACATGATGACCTTCTTATACTAAGCAGTTGAAAATGCAATGACCTGTAAATACTGATTTCTCATGTACATTAAAGCTATCTTTCTTACAAAAATTTGTCTGCTATTTGCATTCAGAAGCAGTATGGATCAATAAACATATCTGTAGTGATAATATTCTTGATTTTTTTTCTCTGTTTATATTTTGTTGAGGCCTGAAGATATTTCTAGAGACTTTGCATTCAGGCATGTGTATGTTAAAGCTGCTATGAAGCGCTTTTCGAACACTATGAAAACACTGTGGATCTGTAGATAAGGATTATGACATGCCAGCCAAACTTTGCATTCTTTGCAGCAAAAAATGTGCATTTTTTCAAGTTGTCGAAAATCAGTAGCTTTCTTTGCAGTGTTATTAGCAGCCATTTATACCAACTGCTTCGTGTGTATTCTAATGATGGGGACACAAGAGCATTTTCGTCACTACAATAATAAAACAATTACTCGTGTGTTGTCTCGGACTGAGGCATTTCGTCATTGACCTTCTGGCCGTGATCTGTGCTTGGCCGCAGAACTGCTCATTCTGTGCTAAAAATCATGTGAAGTGGCAAGCGACTGGATGACATGGGCAGCTTTCACATGCTATCTCCTAAATCCCTCGCTCGCTTCACAGTACGCTACACTATATGGGTTCGTCAATGCGTTTTGTTGCCTCCTAATCCACGCACATGCTGGCAAGGGCCCTCCTTAATGGCGAAACACTTTAGGATCTTGACGTGCATCGTCATCTGCTGCTTCTGTCTTGACGATGCTGCTGTCGGAGCTAAATAGAGGGCGCCACCGCCTCTGAGCTCGCCGCATGGCGCGAGAGGGTGTAGTAGCGCGCGTGGACTATGGAAACGCTGTTTTTGCGATGAACGCTGACCTACCAGCTCGCAAGACAAGAGTGCGCCCTCGCCCGCTAGATGAAACGCCGACATAGGCAAGCGTCTGCTGTAGAGTTCCTCGAGTGAAAAAATCGACTGCTCGTGCCATTCGCTGGCCACCCCGTAAATATAAGCACTGGATCTTGGCCTGCAATGTAGTGCTGGTGGTAGATTTCTCCTGTGCGTAGTTGAACAATAAAGATTCGCTGCATACGCATCAACCCGTGAACAGTACATGCTTTGCCCCTCCCCAGGTTTTACACGAGTGGAACTGAAACACCCTTCCCTATAAGTGCCCCTTTTTTTCTGTTCCAAGTGCCTCATTCCTTCTACACCTTTATTTCGTTAACTTGAATCTTTATTATGCGCAAGCGTGTGCAAGCGCATGCGCTCCACTTGTCATATCTGTGTCCTGGGGTGTGTGGGCACAACCAGCGTCCTTTTGTATTATCTGGCAGCCTTTAGCTTCCATTTTTATTCAGCTATTGAAAGCAATGATAATTGAATTCCCATCCCAAAGAACATCATACCTGCTTGTTACGCTTCGGGTCAGTTTTGTATACATAGTGAAGCAATACTGATGAAAACGAATCCACGAGTTGGCAAATTTGCAAATTTTATTTTTTATAAGCTCTTGAAGAACTGACACAAATGTTCACTCTTGCGCAGAAATTTCTCCATTTGGCGTGACACATCGGTGAACTTGCATATTCACTATGAAGATTGCAACCAGAATGTATCCCTGCTGCTTCGGCCTTCCCTGCATCTTTCACAGAATATTTTAAAGCAGCATTGACAGCGTACTTTAATGTGCATCTACAGTCAGCATCAAATGCCTATGGAACACGGATTCAGTGGCAAATGGGAGTGTGTACTCTGGTACGGCTTGATGCTTGTGATTCAGTGTATCACAGTGTAGCTTCTAGGACTATGCTATAGCTGAAACCCTTAAGGTGGACACTATGTACTCCAAAAGAGTACTTGCATGACGTTTCTGACAGCGCTGCGTGTATGCTATGCGTCTCCTGCTCTGTCCCGTTCTGGATACGCTATACATCGGATGACATTTCTTACTTTTCTTTGTTTTTTTTTTTTGTTAAGTGAGATCTGGGAACTCATTGTAATAGAAAAAAACATGCTTAGGAATCTTCAGAGCGTTCTGATTAATTTGATACTGCGCCATCTCCACGACTACCATCGTTTTCGGAGTTATAAACTGACGTCATAGTGAAAGGGGTGGTCACGTGGTATCAGCATTTTATGGTGTTTTGGGGCTCGCTCCGGCTTGCTCGATAGGCTCTTAGCTTTGATTCTTTAGGACTAAACCGAGCTGGCTGTGAAAGGACGGTTACATTAAATAATTCAGGATGCCATGGTTATGAGTTTGCAAACTTTCATTTATCTCTCAATATGAAAAGTTCAGGAAATCGGTCAATTGTCGAGAAACTCCGCTTTCCTTGCGAATCCCGTGTCCTGTACGCATTTGTTGCCGACTGCATACGTCTCGAAAAGAAGAAACGAAACAAAGTGTGGGCCGACAGCGCCCAAAGGCATTTATTCTTTTCCCTCATGATGTGCAATTACATGTCCACGAATGAAACACAAGCTTCACAATAACGAGTGCGTGACCGTCAATCTGCACAGGGGCACAGTGTCAGTGCGTTGAATTGTAATGTAAAGCTTGCCAAGCAGGTTTACGTATTTTTCTTTTTCACTTAATGAGAGTGAACGTCAGTACAGGACTGGAAAGCTTTGATGTTGCCACAGTGCCAGATCCAGAGCGGAGCGAAATGGTAAAGGTGATCCCCTGCCTTAATCTGTGTCAGCACCCCCCCTCCTCCCTTTAGTGCCTGTCATATACATCTATCACCGATTGGGACAAATGAGTGAGGCGCTCAGCCATGCTCCCAATTAGGGCTTTACATGTTGCGTCTTTTCCTTTCCTCAACCTCTCTAGTGAGTAAGACCACTATGAGCACAAATTTACAGTATTTCAGCTGGGACAGGGTTCTTGTGGTGACACAACTAAAAACAAAACAATCTGACCCAGCTACCTCCGGTTACCCCGCCGTGGTGGTCTAGTGGCTAAGGTACTCGGCTGCTGACCCGCAGGTCGCGGGTTCGAATCCTTGCTGCGGCGGCTGCATTTCCGATGGAGGCGGAAATGTTGTAGGCCCGTGTGCTCAGATTTGGGTGCACGTTAAAGAACCCCAGGTGGTCGAAATTTCCGGAGCCCTCCACTACGGCATCTCTCATAATCATATGGTGGTTTTGGGACGTTAAACCCCACATATCAATCAATCAATCATCAGCTACCTCCGGTTATATTTCAAGTGACTGCTCCTCCCTAAAATGAGTGGATGGATCTGCACCTCTGTTACCATGGGGTGCACATTGTGTTTACAGCTGCACAAATTGCAGTATTTACAGACAAATTACAGTATCGGTAACTGTGTCCATGCTGTACTGCACAGATTGCTGCAGAAAAGTGAAGGCCACTACCACTTGACGCTTATTTCTCGGTGCTGTCAGTGTAAACAGACACTGATTCACGTTCACTAGATGTAGAATTGGAAAGAGAGCGTTCCCTTTTCAAGTACAAAAGAAATGCAGAAATGTTTTCTTTTTGCGATTAGACCTTTAACTGTGGCACTCGGTTTTGCGCATGTTATGAACAAGGTCGAGCTTCAGCAACTGAGTGGCAGTTCTCTGAACACCGCAAACATAAAAAATATTACTGATAATTGCAAACTATGGCTCATACCAACCTCTCAGCCCTTCTCTAAATAAATTGTCTCTCTTATTACTAAGCTTGAAATTAGTGCTTGGTGAACGAAAACATAAATCACAGTTACGTCAAAGTATCCATTGCTATTGCCCAAAAGTGTGAAAATCTGGCTTTCACGACTGTGCGAAATTTTCGTTATGTTAGGCATTGCTGATCTTGTGTGATCGAAATAAAAGTTGGCGAGCACTATATTGTCCCTGTATCCAGTGAAGCTGCAGATAGGACGTTCCGTATTATGATCGTTTCGTACCGCTTGCGAATGTCCTGCAAAGGCAGCGCATCATCCCGTCGTCTTTCTTAGTTCATGTCTTTTTTCGTGCGTCACAAGTTTTCACTAAGTTTCACCACCAATATGCCCATTCTTACATCCTTTTAAGAAGCTCCTTACCGGGCCCAACCGCAAGTTTTGTGCTTAAGTGCTGTAAATTATAAGTTTCTCTCTTAAGAACGTTATACAGGAATATATTTTTTTAGTCAACCTTTTAGTAGATATTAGAAAAAATTAATTTTCCATTTCTCATGCACTCAGAAAGCGGGCTTTACTGCCAGAGTTGGCACTCCTCTCCTTTGCCCTTCTGCATTTCACACGTACTTGAATCAGGGAAGTCTGAGGCGTACCTAAGCTGACGAATGTAGTGAAAGCCCAATCTTGTAGGCAAAGAACAATACATTATCACAATGCATAAGACCTGTCACATCTGTTCAACAAACATATCGACATTGACACATATGTTACAAACTCATATGTTTCTGAAGAGGTGGCGCGGCCCCCGTGGTGGTCGGAGCGAATCCCGGAGGCTACACACCAAACCAGTTCTGCGGAATCTGGCAAGTTGGATGAAGGTTTATGAAAGGGAGAAGCATTTCACGCTTCTGCTTCTGTAGATAGCGCATTATGCTGCGAGTGGGTCACAAACTCGAACGTGAAAGGTTCGCCACAGAAGTTGGATTATCATTCGTTTGTTCGGGTTACGTATGCGCTATATACGGGTTTCCTATGTTGCGTTTATTCCTTCTATTTTCTACGGCATATTTTGAGGCACTACTGTTGACATCACGTAAAAATAGAACACAGGCTTACTTCGTGAGAAACCTTTTCCCCTCTTTACAAATTGTTTAGCACGATCGACGTTCGACTTTTCTGACGCACAAGAAAAGAAAACTTGTATGACCGGTTCATCACCACAGGCCTGATGCACACTGCCCGAACGTAAGAATGTATTCCAGCTTTGAATGGAAGACGTTAAGTGCATGATGAATATGACTCTGCTGTCTTGTCAAAGCAAATTATGCGCTGTTTAGGGAGGCTGAGCATGTCACCTGGAAGCCCTTATCAGAGTCTATAAACCATGCTTTAACTGCTGGAATGGAAGATGAGATAAAACTGCCCTTTTTCTATACGTGTTACTGAAGTTTTTATTCGATGTAATCGCTTGATGCTCACTCACAGGCGTGTGTTACTTGGAAGCTTCAAGACACGTGTTCTCCTGTCATGCACACACGAAATCATTTTTTTTTTAATTCTTCAATGTTTCGGTTACGTCTTCGTAAACAAATTTCGCAATAGCGCAGTGCATGCATTCCCAGCTATACTGTCCTGCCTTAACTTAACAAATCGCGTTTCTCAAACATCTGACGAGTATTGCCGCAATATTAGCGTGGTTTTAATTTGTCAAAAGAAGTTATAGGCATAATGTGGTATACTATAATCTAACAGTGTGACATCAATGAGGCTTGAAATGCAGGCTGACCATCAAGCCTCTAGCGTAGTGGTTGCCTTACTTTGCCGTTGCCTGTATGAGGTCGACTGAGGAGACTTGAACTGTGAAATCTTCACATGGTACATTGTATTTGCCGGGATCGAAGATTGAGGAGAGTGGCCACATTTTACTACACTTAGTACATCTTAGGCTTTTGTTTTGTTCGTTGTTTTTAAGTTAAGCAACAAGCGGGTGACAGGGACCACTTGCAGCTAATACCACTCGTGGATCTCTAGGCTAAATAACGCTAAGGCAAGACACATGTTACGTAGGCCTGCTTAATTGATTTGCATGTCATCGTGTGGCTGTCAACGTTTTTCGATGCCCCAGCGTGAAGATAGATCTTCGTGACTCGCTGAATTTGACATTGAAACTGCCGACCTTTCTGGACCTGAACAGCACCACGGAACAGCATTACGGAATAAAGTGCCCCCCCCCCCCCCCCACTCCTTTTTTTTTGCCTCTAAAATTTTAATCTCCGGAACCATTTGTGATCAATCCTAAGACGCATTCCACAGGCAATGCACTGATGGAATACCACCACATTAGCTTGCGTGCCATGCGCGGAGTGAAACGTTTTAACTTTTCTTCTATCCGGAAGCACATGAAAGCAAGTGCTTCTTGATTTCTGCGCCAAAAAGGCGAACACATGAGCGAAGACAGTACAGGCTCAAATCAAGATGTTATGTACTAACCACCTCGTCACGCAACAAGTTCTTACTCGGAAAGTGCATACCTACACTTAAGCGCTTCAAAATGCCATAAATGGAAGGCTCTGCACTGCTGGCACGTTAAAGAACCCCATGGGGTCGAAATTTTCGGAGCCCTCCACTACGGTGTCTCTCATAATCATATGGTGCTTTTGGGACGTTAAACCCCACATATCAATCAATCGACCTGCACTGCTGTGCGCAGTCCTCAACTGCCGCATGCGACTTACAAAGGTCTGATTGCACGCTTCCGACCAGCTGCGTGTTTTTCGTTCGCGTATTTTGTGTGAGGCCCGACGCGGCGATAAGCTACGTCATGCTCGACCACGTCCCGTCGTGTCAGCAAGTCATTCACGCCGTCGCGGCACACGCGCGTTTCGTCAATCGTGAGACAGCATTTCGTTGCCTGCGATGGACGCCACTGCGCAGGCGTGCATTGATCAGGCTTACAGTGTTCGCATTCCGCTACCAATCTGTTATCGCTGTCGCGTCTTCCGCTTGACAGCTTTCACCGATAAGCAGCGCCACGTAGTACGTACCCGGCGCGGCTAAGATCGGTGGCATGCTAAGTCGTTGTGCGGTTACGCCATCGGCGCCACGTTTCAGTGCTCGAATGACCGCGTTCCGGTGAAGATACCGGGCAGATCGAGCGCCTTCGTGGCACTCGGGAATGCCGGTGGGTGGCCGCGTGGTGTCAGTCGCTCAGTTCATTGTGTTGTAGTCCACACGCCGCACGAAGACCGATCGGTAGAGGGCGTACCCGACGACGACGGCGACCGCAGCGACGGCGAGTGTGGAGCCAACGGCGATGGGCACCGTCTCGTCCTGCGGGAACGGGTCCTGGACACCGGCCATTCGCACCTGGCTGCACCGGTGCGCTGCGTGGAAAAGTAAGCGTGATCATTACGGGAATGCATGTGCTCTACAATGCGGTGGCGTTGAACGAGACTTTCGACATGTAGCGACAGCGTAAACCTTGATCCCTTTTGGAAGACCATACGGGGGTTTATTCTTCACGGACTCGTTTTTAAAGGAAGCTTGATACTCACCTTGTAGAGTAGAGCGCGATAGGGTAACTGAGTCCCGTTTGAATCTCTTTCTGCGCTTCTTGGTGGGCACCTCAACCGTGACCAGAGGAAGCAAACGTCTTTACGCGTAACTTTGGTCGTCTTAAACTATCCTATGTCTTAGTTTAGGCGGGACCTGTTCGACAAACCGCTGAACAAAATAAATAATGTTGCTTAATTCTCTCTCAACTAGCAGTGCTGAAGAGGACAACGGATAAAGAAGGGAACATCACTCGTCTTTGTTCCCTTCCTTGTTCGTTGTCCGCTCCTGCACTTGTTGAAGATATTCTCGTGTGCCAATAGTGAAAGTAAAGTTGCGAAATGCCCACGCCATAACTGTGATCACGTTGCAATATTGGGAAGAACCAACCACGCGGCTACACGTGTAATGATTACTTATTATACCTGAGCCCTTTGTAATAGTTGTGCCTTTAGGCCTCATACAACTCGTTGCGAAATTCACATGACGTGATACCTAGTGCGATCCTGTACTTCTTTCTGGCACGCAAGATTACTCGTGTTAACGTGACTCTTCGAACAATACACCTCCTTTCTTTTTTTTTTACTTACTGTTTCAAGCACGGCATAGCTGTGCGGTAGAACGCCTGTTTGCCGCGCAGAATACCTGGATTCGATTTTGGCTCGTACCCTTGCAATTGCTTGCAATTATAGCAATTTTTCGCTCACGACCAACAACGCCGACTCCGGAATTCCTGCGAAACGAGCTATCTATAACGTTATCGCGTTAACGATGAGAGAATATGCGCTGACGTCCGGGTTCAATATAGCAAGGCGATGATGTGCGCTTAATCTCGGTAGAAGCACTGTTGCTGCGTCTTATCTTGCCATTACCTTTCTCGCAGATTCTGTGGATGATTTTACGTAAGACATATGGGTGCTGACACCTGGGGTGTTGAACGTACCTTTTCTTGGCTTTGTACCTCGTGGTCCGAGGTCAGAAAACGCTAAATGCACCAGCCCAGCCGTTTCCATGCGCATACCACCTGCTCGTTTAGTTGTTCGATATAGCAAAACGTCAAAGTTAACAGCCCGTTCGTGAAAGTGTTGACATCATTGTGGAAGCTACTGAACCAAAGCGAGTGCCTGGAACAGCACCGAAAACTATAGTATTCAATTTTACTGATGATTTTCTCATCAGTGACTGTGCAGACATTGCAGAAAACCCACCGCACAACCAAAATGCTTCTACCATTCACATTTTTTTTCTGTATATATTTTTCTGAACGCGTCAACGATGCAAGCGAGAAAAGCTAAATTAGCCGCGAGCTGCCGTGCTATAGAACTAGCACGAAATGTGTGGAAGTCTCGCCTCCGTTATCTTCGCTCTAGTGTCAAAATTACAACGTCCGTAACATGACACGACGCCATACAGCTGGACAGTGGGACTGCACTCACCTGGACCATAGGTTCCTTGGAACTCGTACGCCTGAATGCCGCAGGTCTTTGAACTGCACGGCCACTTTGCGTCCTCCGCGCGAGTCCGTCAGCGTGACCAAGTTTAGGCGTCGGGCAGAAGTACGACTCGCCCATCGGAGTCTCGAACAGCGTCATGTTCTCGGGACTTCGGGCCGTTCGCTTGCCGGCTGCAGCAGCAAGGAGACCGCGTCAGGCTGAGGTCGCAGGTTCGCGATATAAAACAGCAACAAGTACAGGGCATGGAAGGTGATCTTGGTAAAGGCATAACGAAGCACTGCAGGGGAGTCTTCGGACCTGTTCTTTAACATTGCTGTTTTTACACCCTGTAAACTACCTAGGTGGGTCCCCATGCCACATCACAGTGCTGGCGCCTGGTGGAGCTAGCAACTGCGCCAAAACCGACCGACTTATGTCGATGCTAAAAATCGGCAAGGAACCTTTTGTTCAAAATATCGAAAACTTGTGCTTGTTAACCAGCGCAAAATCACTATGAAAACACAAAAAGGCAAAATACACTACAGCTTTGGTTAAAGTACTAGTTCATCATATTTACTCTTGAAGAGGAGCGTTAGAAAAGGCTGCAAGCTGCACCTCTGTCAAACGTTGACTCTAAGCACGTCCCCTGCTCGAGTGTTGTGTGGAAGTGGTAATAAAGTTCTGTACATCAGAAGAATAAATCTGCGGTTGTATACTTCCCACTCATGTGTGTCGTTCGTGGAAGTATATTCAGGCCGGATATTTATTTCAGCCTAGCTAATTTGTTGTCACGAAAAAAAATAATACTCATCATTCGTTTGAACGAAATGGCTGGTTAGTTTATTTATGAAATTTAACGTATGTACCAAAGCGACTCGGGGTAATTCGAAGGTCACTATGGGCTGGGATCCCAGCGACGAAAAGTGGGACATTTCGTCCACTTTAATCCTTTTCAATGTAAGCTAGAATACTTGCACTGCAGTTGAGCAAACAAAACTAATGTCTTGCGCTTTCCTTGGCTTAACTATCTGTCCATTTGATTAGTTGTGTGCAGCACAGAAAACGAGCCCTCCCTTCTTTCAGGTCAAGAGAGTCGCCTAGGGGAGGGCTGCGGATAATTTCGATCACCTGGGCGTGTTAAGTTTAGCATTTCGCCTTCATATAAATATGACTGGGATCGAGTGAACGTCATTTAGTTTCACAGCTGAGCACTGTAATCATTAGCTTATTTTTTATGTTGGGTGTGTGTTTTGCGTTCCTAAATACCAACATAGATCATCATGGCGGCTATAGTTCGCGTTCGAAACACGTTCGAATATGCGGTTTAAATCTGCACCGTGCTGTTGTGAAACATGCGTAGCTTATCTTTCTCTTTTACTTTTTCGCTACACCTGTCGCAAAGTTGTCACGCTTACCGTTTGTGGCGCCCGGGAAGAAAGGCGAGTTTGTGTTGAACTGTATCTCCATTCCGCTGACCTTCCACGATCCTCGGCCCTTGTCGCTAACCGGAGGAACCTGCGAACGTTTCATTTCGGCCACTTTCACACTGCGTGATGCGGAATACAAACAATCATCACCATCATATCCAGCTCACTTATATCCACCACAGAACGAAGGCCTTACCTCAATTTACATTATCCTATACTATCTTATTCATTTTAATAACTGGGACCTTTTTAGTATTCGTCGCTTCACCTCTCTGTCTTCCTCGAATGCATTTCCCATCTGTCCATAGGCGTGGACCCTTGGGGGTGGGGTGGGGGCAGAGTGGTGTTTGCTTCTTAACAAAAGTCGCCTAACATGGAACAGGGGGAGGGGGGGGGGTGATAAGCGCCTGATCAACGCAGCTCGAAGTTATATAACTTTGCCATCTTTAATTTGATCGCCCGTGCGATCACGACGAACACAGAAAGAGCGTCGCATTAACGAGCGTTTGAAGACATTGGGTGTGTCAGGCAGACGCGCTCGACGTGACTTCACTATGCTGCCCATTGGTTAATCCACATCGCCTCCAAGGAGACTTAGTGCGCATGCGTGGCCTGCGTATGCACGCTGTGGGATCTTGGCATTAGATCGCCGCTCTCAGAACACAGGGACACAGCATACGCTGTCGAACCAACCCAAACAGCACATCTAGTCAATTGCATTTAGAACGACGTTAGCACCAGCCGAATGAATACATCACTTGTGGTCAACACGCCAAAGCAACCTTACACAATATCCCGATACACTCGGTCAAACATAACAACAAACACAAGGTAGCAGGAAGGTGGCGCCGCCAACGTTCGACTCACCACGATGGCCCACGGCATAGCCAGTGGGTGGCACACCAAGCCCATGCCCCCCCCCCCCCCCCTACCCAACACCACCTAGATTTTTTTTTTTAAAAAGTCTAGGTGGTGTTGCCCTACCCCGAAATTTTTTTCACCACGGCATAGATAGCGTAAAATTACCATTTAAAGGAAGTGCCTCCACCCGAAAAAAAATTCTGGGTACAGCCCTGGTGTCGTCTACGTATGGACCCGCCACGGGAGACAACCGTTCACGCCAGCCACCGCGCGCCAATTGCGACTCGCCAGTGTGTCATGTGCCGCCACCCACACTGACTCACCGCCAGGCCACGGCCGGACTCGACTCCTTCTCCGGCGCTCCCCTTAGCGGAAGGAGCGTCGAGTCCGGCCGTGGCCAGGCGTTACTGCTGTCGCCACGCGCTAACCATGATGATGATGATGATGATGGTGTTGGTGGATTCGCAGGTCGCGGAATCGAATCCCGCCTGCGGCGGCTGCATTTTCGATGGAGGCGAAAATGTAGGTCCGTGTGCTCAGAATTGGGTGCACGTTAAAGAACCCCGGTTGGTCGAAGTTTGCGGAGCCCTCCACTATACGGCGTCTCTCATAATCATATGGTGAATTTGGGACGTTAAACCTCACATCAATCAATGATGGTGGTAGTAAAAAGCTAGCGAGCACAACGCCACCTACAGCGCGGTGGTTGTGAACCCTAAATGTGGCTTATCCGCAAAACACGTGTACGCGGCGAGGCGCAAACGACTTTACAGGGGGGAGGGGATAGCACCTTCCCTTCCCCTCTACAACACTTACTCTGGAGAACATCAGGATGAACCGGAACACTGGCCATGTGAGTTCCAGAACGGGCTCCTGGTCTTCCGTAGCACAGATTCCTTTGGCTTTGGCGCTCTCGGGCATCTTCAGGGTTACCGTCTGCGTTTCGAAGAGTAACATAAAAAATTGTGATGAGAATGGTGTAAAAGATTGCGACGTACTACTTTTGTGCGCACTGGCGTTCTATCATTTAGCGCTGTAGTCGGAAGTGGTCTAGTGACGCAATTCGCTTTCATGCTAAATCATTCGCAAAATCATAACCAAAATTATAATTAACATCCTAACGTCCTTGCCATACATGGAAAAAAAAACTAATCAGCTTGACCTCTATATCGGGACTTATATGGTGTTATAGTCCCCTGGTCGTGACGATGAAGACGGCAACAGTCGACTATTAACGAAACTCTTTATTGGGCCAAGTTTTGTCCGTAAAACAAAAACTCGCGGATCAAGCACAACACGCTGTACACTCGTAGCGGCAGTCAATCGGGACCGTCAGTATAGTGATCAGCGGTAAGGGGCGTTAGACATAAGACATCGAAGATTCCGGCTTTATCATTGGTGGTCACGTCAGATCTAGAATAAGCTGTACTGTTCGCGTTGTGCTTTCAAGCTAATCAGAACAATTTAAAATGATCGTGAAATTCCGGCATTCCGGTGCGGCTCACGTAGGACAGTGAATAAACGTGTGCCGGCTCGGTGACATGAAACTAGAAAATTAAGCGAGCGTGGCAATATAAGCCACTGTGTTTCAAACATAAAATGCAGGCGACGCCATAGGCTAAGATGGTGATACCTTTCTTTCTAACAGTTGTTTTTTTAAGTCGGTATTTCGCCTCAAATCTGCATTTTGCTTCAAAATACTTCTATTTCCTATCTAGCCGTAAGTCTTTATCAACCAATCAATAAGCCTTTCAAATCAATATTCTTGCTACAAACAAGTAGTGATGGTGGTAGTAGTAGCAACTTTATTGCACTGTACTGCGGCATTTTGGGTGATCCGGGATCAGGTATCCCACGATGGGACGTCGAGATCCTCTCTGAGCACTGCCTCGCGAACCTGCTGGATGGCTCAGAGTTGGTCGCCGAGGCCGTTGCTGCGCAGAGTGGTGGCCCACCTGAGCGCTATGGTCTCGGAGTTGGACTCGTCAGTGTGTTGAGCATTGCATTTACATATCATGTGTTTCCTGTCTGCATATCTTGCGTGTGTCTCTGCAAATATCTATTTGACGTGAAATGGGTTCGGGAAGGCACAGCTTGTGCCACTGCTTGTGCCTACTTTAGGTCTTGCTGTGGTGATGGGAATTTTCTTCTGGCTTGATACATCATTGTGGTGCCGTTGTATCTGGTCAGTTTACCTCGTTCAGCTCTGGAGTCCTCCCGAGGGTTTATCTGGACGTGGTCCGCCAGCTTTCGCGTTCTGCGGTGAGCTACCCATTTGAGCTACCCGTAGCCGTGATACCGTGCGATTAGACTCTGGTGGTCCTTGAGGGAGCGTCTTCTCTTCATGATGGCAATATATTCCCTTTCATAACCAATTTCCACCTAGATTGCGGACTTTTGTAAAGCTATTTTCTTAATCATCTGAGTGATTTTGCGCAAAAAAAAAAAAACGGGTACGAGGGGGAGCAACGCAAACACGAGTGCTATCTGACAACTGGTTTATTTTTCAAAAAGAACATTCACTTAACAAACCTCCAATCTGCGCGAACTGATCAAAATAAGTCATCAACAACGCCCGTAAAGCAGCACATCTCTTTAATTGAATGAGAAAAAAATTCTTTCTTGTCATCATTACTTAAATGCATCTGACCGTGTGATGTTCTACGTGAGCTGTTCTCGAGAATACCGACTAGCCCGCTCCACACCTTGCTTTAGTTAGAGCAAACCAACACATGAGAAAATGCGGCTAGTTGGAAGCAAATGCTGGTAGGTTAGGAGCACCTGCAATCCGCCTCTGCTGGCGTACGTGATGGTGAAGAAGACCTGGAACTTTGCCAGTATGCAGACAGTGCCGTCGGTAGCGTTCCACACGCCGAACGAGAATTCCGGTATCGGCGCTTTCGGGGGCACCACGGGGGTGCCCGGGGCTGGCGCCGCTACGCCTCCACCAGCAGCGGCCGCCGCGGATGGTCCTGAAAGGCAGCGTTCATAAAAGCAGCGTTTATCGAGACTCCGGATTTATTTCCGCTCAAGGCCACGTTCACACGACACATGTAAGTTTTTTCGCCATAAAAGGGCCCTGCGGCGTTTCTTCGTCAGCCTTTTGCAGCGCTGGCGAGTGTATAGTGCTGAATACTGGAGATGCTCGGAATGTTCATCATAGCTGTCATGTCTCTATAATGTACAATTCTTCGTTTGTTCTTGTTGCTGAATACTTTAGTGTGTTACCTTCGTTTGTAATATAGTGAATTTATCGTTTCGTTATATATTTAAGCCTTTTCCTTATGTACATGCTATTTCATGTCGATATATATGTGTCCTTTTGTAGTTACGAAATTCTTCCATAGTTATGATGCGTAGTTTTGTAAGCTTTGTAATATGTAATCCCCACCACTGCATACCAAGCACGAACTTAATCAAGCCTTTCGCATGCTTTTTGTTCGTGCTGCAAACACCTGACAGGTGTTGAATAAATTTGAATTGAATATCGAGAAGAACACAAGAACTGTCAAAATTGGGGCATGGTAACGGAAAAGCGTTCTTCCAAATGCACTCTCCCGCTGGTGTCAAACGCCGGTTCCAATCACTGCGCGCCTTTTATACAGAGACATACCGACTCTCCTGGTGGTGGCAGTTGCACAGCGCACTTATCTTTGCTTTAGAATTGCTTTCAACGTTTCATAATGAAAAACAGAAATCGTTTGGACCTTAGGAAGTATAAGCAGCGCTTCTATATTTTTTTTTGCACACAATAGTGTGGCGTAGCTGGGGCCAAATGAATTTCACAGGAAACCTGTCCCATTAACCCGATCAAAACTCGCCAGTGCTATAAACGCACTTCCGAGTAGAAAAAGCCGTGTGCGTCGCTGCAGCGCAGTACTAATGTGGTTTCTCAGTTGAAATAAAATTATACCAGCTTCATTTGTGGCATTGCCACTCGCGCGAAAGATATCGGTAAATTCCGCAGTCCAGCAGAAACGATGAAAACAACACGTTTAAATTGTCGCAGGGCCCCCTTAAAAACACCCATATACAGGTACGCTCGATATGACTTGCAACCCGGGAACGCGTGGCCTCAGGAGTTCAAATGTTGCGTATGGCTTTAACTTATTTTTATTTAAACAAGTAAATATCATTTTCTTATTTGGGATCATGTCCAAGTGAAAGAAACGTGTTTAGTGATGGAAATAAGGGCTAGTGGAAGCCATGCGCAATCTTTGAACTCTGGAGGCCACGCGCTCCGGTGCTGTAAGTCATTGAGTGTGAGTGTACGTGGATATCTAAAAAATAATAAACAAAAACTTTGCCGTAGAGTATCTCTCGTCTCACCGTTGGCAGGAGTCTCCGCTTTCTGCGAGTCCGAAGGCGGAACCCTTGCGGCTGACGCTGTGTCTGCACAAGAGAATTTGAATTTATGGTGTGGCCGCTGAAAATCTTGTAATGCTGGTGTAAAGCGGTGCACTGCTTTTCGCAATTAAGCCCAATGCTGATCACATTGCCCAACAGTGATTGTCTTCCTTCTGCAGCTTGCGTAAATGAACCAATCACGATCAAGAAATTTGACCCATATAAGGCTATATTGCTGTCAAGTGACTGTTTGACACCGGTGTAGGAAAATTCTGTTTTTAATGAACGAAGATACTCTGGAGTTCGTAAACAAATTAAAGCGTAGTGTCGAAGGCACACTTTCTTGATGGTGCGATTGACGTTGACAAGAATGACGATGAACTATAGCTCAGCCCTTTGTAAAAGGTTGGCAGCTTTTAACCGCCCACTCGTTAGGCAGCTCGAATGGTGTGGCACCCCACACGATTCTACGCTTCTGCTATATACCGCCCCGCCGCGGTGGTCTAGTGGCTAAGGTACTCGGCTGCTGACCCGCAGGTCGTGGGATTGAATCCCGGCTTAAAGAACCCCAGATGGTCTAAATTTCCGGAGCCCTCCACGACGGCGTCTCTTATAATCATATCGTGGTTTTGGGACCTTAAACCCCTCATATCAATCAATGCTAGGTAATACCAATGTGGCTCCTTGCCCCGCATCGCCACTGCATAGCTCCTTCTTCTTAAGTTTAACGTGATGTCGTGGCTCTATGTTAGAACACTTGACGGATATTACCTGGGTATCATTCCGGCTTGAATCCAGATCTTTATTCTTTGCATGCATCATAATTTTTCGCTCACTGTCAACACCGATATTTCGCTCAGCTCGCTTACGCCAACACTGCAGTTTCTGCAACATGGGCCCATTAATTCTATCGCATCAATAACTGCGGCGAAACCCTCAGCTAAACATAATCTATCTTTGCGCAAGCATCGGCTAATAAATGAGTGAGAACATTGTTTCCATAACACTGCCCGATGTGCAATTATAGAGTATGAAGGGTAATCGCATGATCCAAGGTGACTTCGTAGACTAATCTACACCCTCACTTGGTCCAGCCAGGCTCGTTGAATATGAACTTATTTTAATTTGTAGATTTGTAATGATGCCTGATGGCCAGCGATCTTCAGTCAACTTGTTGCTATTTGGATTTGCCCTTGCTTCACGCGTCAGCGCGAGAATCAATCGTGGATGGAGCTCCGATGCGAAAAAAATATACGAACGTGTAATTGGTACGCGCAGTGTGCGCCGGCTCGTAATACACGCAACTCCTTGCGCTACCGCGTCAACGGGCCGGGCACGAATCTGGATGATGTACGACCAACTAGCTCGAGAAGGGTTATCCTCATAAACGTCTGAAATTTTCGACCGAGCACCCCTTCATCGAAGGAAGGGTGCCGTTGTTTTGAGAAGCATACTTCCGGCAACTAACAACTCGGCAACGGCGCCGCCGCGTCTTCCCGTCACGTTTAGCGAAAAGGGACGCATGTGTTCGGGAGAAAAATGATCTACAGAGAGGATGCGTACGCCCCGAAAAGAATTTGACTGCTTCAGCAGTTGACGTTGAACCAGAGAAGAGAGCTGTCATCGGTGTTGCGAGTCTCGCGTAGGCGGAGAGTACAGAGTGTCCCGCGCTACGAATTGAGTCGGCTGCAACACCGGGCACCCTCGTCGTCTACCGAAGCTGGTGAGACCTTCAGGGGCACCTCGTCAACTCCCCTACGGGCACCAGGAGCAGGCTTGGTCCGTAGAAACTTTTTTTATTGTAATTTTTTGCAACCGTCCTTTTATTATACCCTGCTGTAAGTAACGTGTTAGCGTGCGCTAAGTCTAACGTAAAAACTCCGAAGCGCGAGCAATAATTTCTTTAATTCTTCTTTGTGTCACTTTGTTTCCATCATATCGTTATTTCCACGTTGTGTTGTACCTTGTGTTGTTGTCATTTAGAGCAAAGTTTGTTTTGTAGCTGTTCTTTTCATCGCACGTATTTCCTGTTAACTCCTGCCATTGCCCTTGTTTTAATTAAATGATTGTTTGTTTTTAATCAAAATACCTGTGTCTGCTCTATGAGTACGCCCAAACATCACTACACGTGCAATACCGCACGAGTCAACCAGCCTACACAAAATTTGAAATGTACCACTTGAGGCTTTTCAGGCGTTGCAGGCTGAAGTGTAAAGTGGAAGCCTGCCAGTCTGCCTTACGCCGCTGTTCGGTTGGCGGGTGCTCACCCGATGTGTGTGACAGTTATTAAAGTCATCCTGGACACTGTCCATTTCCACTGTGCTGTCATATTCTGCAATGGGGCCCATTTAAGCCAATCAGAGGGCACCGCGATCTTCTGGTGCAATCACAAATAAGATAAATTTGACAACGTGACAGAATTCGGCAGTGTCTACAGTATAATTCCAGATCGCATGCTTTCATCGTTGTTACCGCTCCCTCTCATTTTTTTTTTTTATTTTCACCAAAACAAATACAATGGCGAAAAATGGGGAGACGGCAAAAAAGCTGCAGTTTTTGCAGCTTGACTAAGCACTAAGCGACTAAGCAATTGCAGTAGCAGGCCGAAAAACGCACTTTTCCTGGCCGGTATGTATACTCTTACCTGTTTATTGGTGTTTCTTTATTTGAATGTATGGAAGTGAAAGTTCTGAAATTTGAAATTATTTGAATTGATAAAATTTGAAATTGAAGTTATGATATAAAACAACTTACAAGAATGTAATAGTTGTACAAAAGCATCTGAGTCCGCAGCCTAAGGCTATTTTGGAATCACTGAAATGCAAATCTCAAAAAGAGCGCGTCGCATGGCAAAATAAAAAGAAACAAAGCTTACCATTTTGGTCTGTCTCCTCTCTCAGATCGGTGCTTATGGAATCGTCAGCACGGCTCTGGACTCGTGGTTTGACCTCCTGCGATTAATTGCAGCTTTCACAACGCGCGAACCGAAAGCTCGTGTCAACACAATCTATAGCGACGAGCAATGAAGCGCTGTGTGAAAATTCCGCTTAGAGATGCAGTCTCAAGCAAGATTTCCTGTGTTTCAACATAAAGATCACACGCACCAGGCCTTCGCAACCCGGAGTCACAACTCTCGTGTATCTTTTCTTGTTTGCCTTTACTCTTTCCTTTATACTGAAAATGTCAAACATGTTTAGTTCTCTGTCTAGACGTCGTGCAGTTGAGGTATTAGTAGTCCTGAACAGTGGCTATTGTAAGTCGCAGCCATCAGTGTTTCACCACCGTTTGGTCCACTTCGGTTATAATTTTCATGCCTACATGATTTACGCATAAGAGCCCCCGTAGTGTATGTATTACAAGATGAGGAGGAAGAACAACAAAAGAGAAAACAGAGAGGTTAACTTGCCCGGTTGGTTACCCTGCGCTGTTAGATTGGGAAAAGGGAGTAATATTTTTATTACAAGATATTGGGCTCGCTTAGATGTAGACAACCTCGCTTCTGTTCAGCGTAGACAAGTGTTTATTCATCGGCCGGTCAACATGCATACACCAACTCTGTAGCTTAAACGTACCAGATGTTGCTTTATTGTTGTTGTTTTACGGCTAACTCTGGCTGTGCTTTACAAGGCTTACTGATTGTGTAGATTTGGTGCTGGCTTACATCAGTTATCTCGTGCAATCAATCACCTTAGCCGACCGAGGTGAAGGCTTCTTTTATGAAGGAACGTGCCGAACACTCACCCGCAGCGCGACATACTTGTGCTGGGGGTCCGGCTGCCAAACAATGGTCTCCTCGTAGTCGATGGCTTGAACGAGGTAGCTACAAAGGATGACTGGGATGCAAGAAATAGAAAGACGAGATTGAGACGCTCTACGGTGAAAGGCTCACTAACAAGAAAAACAATTTCTTTTGTATTGGGGAATTACTCTGGCCCAATAGCAAAACTACAACGTTTACTGCGAGAAGACGCTTGGCAAGTGAAAAAAAAAAACACGCGCGAATAAATTGCAGGTGGCGACGTCACTTCAATAGTCCTGCACCAATCGCCGTGATGTCATACATGTTGGTGGAGTTTGCAGGCACTGCGAAACTTGTTATTGGCAAAAGTAAAGAGCGCCGTCTTTTTTCTGTTTATTGAGCTCTCGGTACAGTTCAGCTGCATAGGAAAGGCATGGTAAACTCAAAATAAGCTTCATACAACATTTTATTTTCTTGGCACTTAAAAGCTCGCATTTATTACAGAACCCATGCCGACGTATATTCGTAAGCACACAAAATGAAAAAAAGTTCATAATCGTAGTTCTTAATGGAAGATATTCGTGCTTCAGCTAGCGTTACTTTATAGGTAATGATGTTTGTTGTATTTTTTACTAAACTGAGAATAAAATGTAAGGTGACAGAAGTAGGTCAGATAAAAATGTAGAGGCTAACTAGAGGAAGTTTATTTTGGTGGCTAGCCTTTATGTAAGGAATGTATAATAGAAACGAAGTGCAACATGCCAATACAAAGCCTATAAAAGCATGACATCGTTCAACTAAAGTACAAAAACATTTCGAGTATGTACAATACAGCCCGTTGGTCTAAGAAACGAGAGTAACCCACTGACAGTGACTCGCGGTTAAATCAGTGCTGACCAGTGCCCTAAAACTTTGCCTTCCTTTAGTGCGCAATTTCGCAGCTGGCTCACTGTGGCTGAAAGGGCCGCTCTTTGTATTTGTAGCTTATACTCGATTGTAGTATGAAAGCACTCACAAGTTTCCAGCACAATGAAATCCATCACGCTCGTAAAAGGGTGCTCCTGTTAAGCGTGCACCACCTCTATAAGACTATTTACATAGAAAAGCCAGCTTTCCATAGCAGGGAGGTTTAGTTGCGTCAGTGCACGTGAAGATACGTAAATGCACAAACGGCTAAGAGAGCTCGGGATCGTGACCTTACTTTTAGGTGTCTACGTTTGCGTCTATGGTAGTTTCGCGTTCTCATGTGTCTTAACCGGACTTGTGAACTTTGCCCTCGTTTAGAGCACGACTTTCCAGCTGGCTCACTGTGACTGTGAAAGCTGGTCTTTGTATTTGTAGGTTAAAACTCGAGCGTAGTATGAAAGCACTCACGAGTTTCCAGCAAAATAAAATCCATCACGCTCGTAACAGGATGCCCCTGTAAAGTGTGCACCGCCTCAATAAGACTAATTACGCGGAGAAGTCAGCTCTGCACAGCAGGGAGGTTTAGTTGCGTCAGTGCACGTGAACATGCGTAAATGCACAAACGGCTGAGATAGCTCGGGATCGGGACCTGACTTTGTTAGGTGTCTACGTTCGCGCCTACGGTAGTTTCGCGTTCTCATGTGTAACGGACGGATTTGTGGTAAATTGAGAAATATTTAGAGATGTTAGGCTTGTATGAAATGCGAACGAGTCGGTACTGATGCATAACAACGTAAATGTAGCGCGAAAAGTCCGCTGTGTACAGATATTGCATGCATTTCGCTCTGCGCAGCTTTCAAGAGCAGGTGAATCGTCTAAAAAACGTAGCCTTCCTTTTTCTGTGATACGTACCACCTGCGTGCGCCTTGTCAAACAGATAAAAGATATCGAAGCACGCATTCAAAACACGACTCATAATGATAAATTAGCTGTGACACCATATGTGCACGCGCTCTCACATTGGTTTAGGAAAACCGCCCGGCAGTTTGGCTCAATTGAAGGTCGTTTTTCTGTTAAAAATAGTCTAGGTAGACCATGTTCAATGGTTGGCGACAAGCTTGATAAGGTCGGGACGCGCGGTTGCACCATTAAGCACAAGGTTAGATTTGTAACTTAGATGTGTCGCAGGTTGGGCTAGTTGATATGGCATTACTAAAGTTATAGCGCGAGAACAAAACGACGACACAGAGACAAGGGCACGAAGGACACGAGCGCTAACTTCCAACTGAGTTTATTGCGCAGAGCGCGAAAATATATAGAGGAGACAGTAACCACGTGACAAAAACCATATGGCATGAAGAGCAGAGCATGAATAAGAGAAAACCAAAAACACAAAACAAAAACACAAAACAAAAGCACAGAAAAAAAGGCAAAGAAAAAACTATAAGGAAACGAAACAGAAAAGTAAAGATAATATAACTGCTTGCGCGCACCGAAACCTTCGAGGAACTTTAGTTCCTTCTTTGACAGGGACACGGAGGGCTTGCTAATGCAAGGCACCTGTTCGTGTGTCACATGGTTGCTGTCTCCTCTATATTTTTTTTTGCGCTCTGCGCAATAAACTCAGTTGGAAGTTAGCGCTCGTTTTCTCCGTGTCCTTCTTGTCTCTGTGTCGTCGTTTTGTTCTCGCGCTATAACTATCGTTAGATTTGTGTCGTGTAGGGCCAACGTGGTCTATTGCGTCCCTCTGTCGTGTGGTCGTGTCTACGCGGGCTAGACAGGCCGATGTTTAAACATTCTTCTAAGAGAGCATCAGTCTTGCATGGGAGACCCTTAACGCACCTGGTCATGCACTGCGCTGAGTGCCAGTGTGAAACGCAAATATCCCACACAAAGATATTGTTTGGACACTACGATATCACGACACGAGAACTTGTCGAGGACTACCACACTAACTCGAGGGCTCCCATGTGCGTTAGCAATCCTTTTTTAGCCTTATTGGACAAGGAATTCGCGCTACTCATGGAAAGGGGGTAGACCGGCGGGAAGGGGAGTGCATGGCGTGTGTTTTGTTTTGTATTATTGCCTTTTCTTTTGGCCACGATGTGCATGCGTGGGATTGTGTTGAACACCAAATGTATGTTTATATATTTTTGGTTCAAGCATTAAAGCTTCCCAGTTGTGAGTAAGCACTTCTGTTGTACCTTGTCCGTGTCTTTTCGCGCTATGTTTTTCGTTGTTATGGCTGCCGTTTCGTACTTGTAGGTTTTAACTTATAGTATGAAAACCCTCACAAGTTTGCAACACAATGAAATCTATCACGCTCGTAACAATGTGAGCTTGTAAAACATGCACCGTCGCAATTGGAATCCACAGAGCTGGTAGTTGCATCAATGCTCGTGAAGACACGCAAATGCACAAATGGCTGATAGAGCTCGGGATCGCGACCTGACTTGTTTAGGTGTCTCCGTTCGCGCCTATGGTAGTTTCGTGTTCTCATGTGAAATAAATGGACTTGTGAACTTTGCCTTCCTATAGTGCGCGATTTTCCAGCTAGCTTAGTGTGGGCGAGGAGGCTGCTCTTTGTATTTGTAGGTTATAACTCGAGTGTAGTATGATAAAGCACTCATAAGTTTCCAGCACTATGAAATCCATCACGCTCGTAACAAGATGCTCCTGTAAAGCGTGCACCGCCTCAACAAGACTAATTACGCGGAGAAGCCGGTTCTGCACAGCAGGGAGGTTTAGTTGCGTTGTGCACGTGAACATGCGTAATTGCACAACAACGACTGAGATAGCTCGGGATCGGGACCTGACTTTGTGAGGTGACTACGTTCGCGCCTACGGTAGTTTCGTGTTCTCATGTGTAACGCACGGATTCGTGCTAGACTGAGAAATATCGAGATGATAGGCTTGTATGAAATGCGCATCACTTAGGTTTAAGCTATGCCGATGACATATTCATGGCACAAATGTTGTTTTACTATGAAGCACACGCGGGTTGGTTAGAACAAAGTAGTTTTACAATTTTCAAAATATTAATATTCATTTAGAGGGACTCAAATTTGGAAGCGCGGCATGCAACGTGAGTTGTAACCAGGAAGGGACGTTTGCAACGAGAACCAATTAGCTTGAAAGCTGACATTGATTACTCGTAAAAAAGCTAGATATCTATCTGTACTGTCGAATAGCACGACCTTCGATCTTGAGACAGGTTAGTACAATGCACGCAACAAGAAGTGTGATCGGGAGGGGCGAAATTCGGAGTTTCCAAACAGCTTACCTCCCGCGAACACTGCTGCGATTGGAACGATCGGCCCCACGTAGCGTCGCAGCTCAGTCATCGCGCTCGTCGCAAACACAGCGCGACCGAGTCGCCGACTAGACACGCGCCACTAGAATGTACCACTCTGAAGCACGCTTTCATACGAATATGCACCGCTGGTTCATACCGAGGACGCCATGTTCAGGCGGTGGCTCGCTCGCTGCACGCTGGCAACGAGGCTACACGATAGCCGGCGCGTCGGGGCTACGGCATCGATCGCAGTGCGGCTGCACGGCGAAGCTGCGAAGCGCCGCTACTCCTTCGTTCCGTACGGAGTGCAGACTCCTATAGGAAACGCTGGGGTCGGCTTCGTCTATGCAGCGCAAACCACGCTGCCGGGCTTGCTTTGATATTCCACCCTCGGAGTCGAAGGCCCCATCTGTTGGCGCCTCTTCGCGGTTTGTAAATAGGGCGCGCAGATGGGCGTCGTATACAGTGTGTACTGAGAGGAACTTACTGTGTGGAGATTTTTTCGTTTTTTTTTTTCTTTTCGCTTACTGCGGCGTAGAGAGCGCCCGTATCACCATGTGCCAGGATGCCGAGAAGGTGCGCAGCTTGAGTGAACACCGCGGAGGCAGAACTAAGGTCAAGTGTTGACTAAGGCTGAGGTCTTCTTTGATAACGTGAAGACAACTTCAATTAGAGAAAAGAAAGCAGCTGGTATAATCTACACTGCAGACTTCCGTTTGATCCTCATTTTCCCGTCTCGTTTGTGGGCGTCTCTTGGCCTTGCTCGCGTAAACTCAATTGTCCCTTTTCATCAATGAAATAAATAACAAATCTATCATTGTCTTTATTAGTGAATGACATTCGCGTTGGGGAACATTTCTGAATAAGCGCCTATTTCATAATTCTAGTTTCGTACGTCTCTCATCACCCATTATTTCATCCCTCCTATCGCTTTCATCATTTTTTGCTTATTCTTCACTTCTTTCTTTTTTCTTTCGTTCATTTTAAGCGGTATTTCCCGCTCGCTTTCTTCCACGTGGGTCAGGAGGCATTCACCGCGAAATGGGCAATCGATCTTATCTTGACAATATTTACGCAGAAACACGGGAACAAAGGAACAGTGCTTCACTGTCAAAGTATTATCCAGATGAATATATTGCAACTAGGCTGACTCGAAGTATTGCTTTAATCTCGCTACCAACATTTGACGCCACTGAAGCTCGCCGTTGTGACGTCATCCGAGTGCAACGCGTTGCTGGAAAGGGAACTCGTTAAGCTGGTTCGCTACAACTCGCCGTGCACGTTTATATGTTTTCCCCAAAAAATTTTTCGAGAGTTACTGTTCCGACGTTTTCGTGCCCCTACTTTTCCGGCGGAGGACAGCGCTCTCAGTTTGATGGGGCAGAAACTTTTCGTGACTGATTGGCCGCTTAGCTGACGCAGCCCGCCTTGTTCGCGGAGCTTGTTAGGGGAAACGCTTTTTTCATCGTTTGGTAAGTCCCTGCACACGGCTCACGCTCCGTGCATTTCTCCCAGCTGGACTCCGATGCCCGATCGAGTGATGTTGACAGTCTGCAATAAATATAAGCAAATAGGAGACTTAAGTGCATAGTTCTTAAACACCCGTTTCTGAGTTGAGCGCGTCGCCCATAAAAAAGTAACCAATAAACTTGAAAAAAAAAACAATAACTACAACATTAATACCTGGGATCGAATGAGATTTGAACCCAGGCCCTGCGCGTGGTATTTGAGTATTTAACTACAGAGTCATGCTGGTGCTCTGAACTCAATTGCAAAAAGACCCAATGAAAGTGTCAAGTAAGGCAAGAAATCATGTTAACCCAATTAATGTGGCGCGGCAGATGAATAAAAGAACGAATCATGACAAAATGCTAATTATGCAACGAGTACGGGTTTAATGCTTCTAAACCAGAGCAAGGCGCTCAGCCATAATTCTTCATTGTCATCAGTCACATGCAGCAACCACATACTGCACATAATGCTTTGCAGGTGTGTAGTGGTCACCCCGCTTGTCCGCAGAAAAACGAACAACGGTGCAGTGGGGCTGAGTAAGTGCTGTCCTATTTCAACAAAAATTATACCTTATGGCGTAATCGACCCCTTGCGGAAAGCAAAAAAATGCTGCAAACACAGCTGGCCCTGCCGCAACGCGACGCTGCGCTCAGAATTCGCCATAGGCAGTATTGGAATCAGTGGTGATTTTTTTTTATACGGCCTGTTCGTTGAGCTGAATCTACGCTATAGGCGGACGTCGATAGCGGTGAAAATGGGATTAATGTCTTAATAAAGAAGGAAACTTCAGATAAAATGTGAGTGGACGGTTTTGCTATTTGCACCACACGCAAACTGAAGCCGCTTAGGTAAATTTTGAATGACACCACTTGTACAGCCCAAGCTGTATATGTCTAGGCGAAATGAAAAAAAAACTGTCCGCCACGAGAAACTATAAACATCTACACTGGGCTGCTCAGTCAGTTACGCCATTTTCTACGTCGCACCAAACGCACGCGCGCCATTGGGGGCGCCGTCAGCGACGTCGTTTATCCCTTCGCAGCTGTGCCGCCAAGCCCGCGCGGCAGTTTCAATGGAGTGGCTTTGAAATACAAAAGAACATAGAAGCAGCGCCGTCACTCAATAAAGGTCACCGTAACAGTGTTGCATGCACAGGGTTGGCTTGCGGGTGCGAGAATAGTTCGGCATAGCAGGAAGATTCAACTTACAACTTCCGCATGGGGAGGGCATGGAGCGAACGAACACTGGAGCAGCCGACAACTTTCCAAGAACAAGAACAGCGCCGGCAACTGATTCATCAAATAATATATGTTCGCCGAGCCGAACGTGCCCGGGTGGCTGGCGCAGCACAAGCAGCAATTACGCACCAAGGATCCGGCAGCCTTCCGAGCCAAGTGCAAGCGACAACGGCGAGCCGAAAAAGCGGCTTTGCGGGCAAAGTAGTGTCAACGAGGCAATGGCAGGAACGCGTTCGCCGGCGCCGACGGTAGCTTTCGGGAGGAGTTTCTCGAGTGGCACTTTGGCTTCTGCTGCGACGTCTGCGACCGCCTGTAACCGCACATGTCAGCTTTGCTGGTTAACCACCTGTATGGATTGCTTGGTGGCGATTTTTTTTAATATGTGTTGTGAAGCTTGTGGCAAAATGGTTGTTTGCTTCACGTTTTGAAATTGCGATCAATAATCTATAATTTTGTCCTGTAACGATATGTTTGTTAGCCCCTTTGTCAGTTAGCTTGTCTGTATATAAGCCTTTTCATTTTAATTTTAGTTACGTGGTTTAAAAGGTAAAGTATCGGGAGGCTGTTCTCAAGTAACTTGTTTGTCAATTGATATTTCTCCAGTCAGGGTAATATCACACCTACGTTATACTTATACCAGTGTGGCACATGCGCAGCAAATTGAATTGAGTAGTTAAAACATATTTCCGAATGACAATTTTGTTTTCAGTGGAGCTGCCACAAATTCAAATTGATTCACATTCGAATACCATGATGCTGTCACCATGGCTTTGTTGCTGTCGTACAACAGGAAATTGTTCTTTAGGGAGGGGGTGGGGGTTTAACCATGCTTTATGTGTGTTCATGCGTGCGTGTGTATGTGTGCGCGTGTATATATATAGCAAATTTTTAAAAAAATTGGGCCAGGGCTTTGAACCTTCCAACCCCCTTCTGGTTACGCCCCTAATCTTACTAATGCCGAAGTAAAATAAGCACCCCATAAAAACGACAGCCTACTTGGCATTGCGTTGAAAGGGATAAAGTTCAGCATGCTTCTTACGTGAATTTGTTCTCAATAATGCATTACGACCAATAAAGCCGGAGAAGGCGTAGGAGCATTCACCGCCTGCAACATTTCGTATTCGTATGTACCTTGTCAACGAAAGCGGCTCTCTAGGTGCCGCCATAATCCTGTCTGGGCTGACCGCCGAAAATGTAGTGCCGAGGCTGTGACGAAAAGTTTTGCACTCCCCAGAAAGGAGGTGATCCTTCACTTCGTTTAAAAGAGTAGTAGTTATAAAAGAACGGAATGAAATACATCTCTCGCTAAAAAGTAAGCCGCTCCAGTGGGGAAGTAACGATGAAAGGATTTCCAGGTTTCCATATCTCCATACTGACACTTGGGAACTTGGAACAGGTGGGAAACTAAATTTCAATTTGTGACTTCCATAACAACGTTATGGTGCGCCGAGTCATTTGAAATCTTATATTTTCTTTTTATTCATCTCCCTCCATACAGTGTGATGGTGTTCTCTTGTTATTTGTTTTTTATCTTTTATTATTATTTGTCTATTCGAAACTGTTTGTCTGTTAACGCTCATAAATGGAAAGGTGCGCAGAATAAAAATGAGATCATATCAAGGGAAAAAAAAGGAAAGCCAACGCACAAAGTAACCATAGCAGCAACAGCAACAGGAGCGAAGCAAAAAAAATTTTTCGGGGGCAGAAGGAGGGAGGAGGAGAAGTCAGTCATACTTTATGTATGCTCGTGCGTGAGTTTTTATGAGCACGTGTATATATACGCAAGCGAAATTGAAACAAAAAATTGGGGGGGGGGGGGGCGAACACCTTAACTACCACCCCACTTGGCTACGCCCATGACCTCCACAATTTCATGTTGATCCACACGTAGTACGGCAGCTTGCGGCTGATTTCCTTTTTGCTCGCTTGCATCGTTAATGCGTTTAGAAAATTATAGATATAAAAATGTGAACAGGAGAAATGTTTTTATGGTTCATTGCACACGTCATTGCCAAATTACGACTACATTTTTCTTGTAGAACTAAACAGCCTGTTTCCGGCCCTACGCTAACCAACAACGTCGTGGACGCCATTTAAGTTTGAAAACGGGCGTGCCTAAAAGGTGGTGCTGTCCGAGAAACGGAAAGAAAAGGAAGACATTGTTGCAAAGTGAACAGTAACTGTACTCTTCGTAAGACTTTTCACAACTGTTTTATTTCATAATAAATAAAGCAGCATTTGTTTCATGAGAGCCAGCGGGAAAATTATCAGTCAGCTCATGTACTTTTTTTTTTGCGCGAAAGCAGACCCGTGCTTCGGTTCTGTGGGTTCCCCAGTGCTGTCTATAAAAGTTGTCGACCTGTATAGAGTGGCGGTCGGTTTGGAGCTTTTAGCGTGATTTGCTTGCTTTCAGTAGCG